TCCCTGCCGCTCCGGGTTGGAACCGGAGCCGCCTTGCTTCGCGTTCCTGCAAGAGCAGAGCGCTGCTCCGCTGCCCCCTGGCGGTTGCAAAGAGAAGATTCTCCGTCTGCCTCTAATCTATGCTCTTGTCCCAAAGGCGCTTTTTCACGAGGCAAGTGGACTTTCTTGTTTTACTTTGAAGACGTTTCGCTTCTCATCCAAGAAGCTTCTTCGGCTCTGACTGGATGGCGGGGAATGGAAGGATCTGTACTCCTTGCAGACAGCTGGTCATTTGCATTCTTTTAGAGAATAAATGACCAGCAATTTTCTTTAAAAAAAAAATTAGAAATGCAAATGTCCAGCCGTCTGCAAGGAATACAAATCCTTCCATTCCCCGCCATCCAGTCAGAGTTGAAGAAGCTTCTTGGATGAGAAGCGAAACGTCCTCAAAGTAAAACAAGAAAGTCCAGTTGCCTCTTGAAAAGGCACCTTTGGGACAACCATGACCTGGATGACTGGAGAATTTTTATAGACGTCTAATGCTCTTTTTTCCTTTTAGTCTACCTCTTTTAATGTTTTTTCCACCTCCTGTTCATTCATCTCCCCCTTTCCTTGATCCTCGCTTCCTTTTTCCTCTTTTTTCCTTTCTAATTCTTTCTTTTCCTCGTTTTCTCCTTCCTTTCTGTCTTTGGCTTTCCCATTTGCCCTCTTTCACCGCCTTTTTTCTCTCTCTAGGGCAGCGGTAGGCAACCTTGGCTCTTTTATGACTCGTGGACTTCAACTCCCAGAATTCCTGAGCCAGCCATGCTGAGGGGAAAGGGAGAGGTTTCCAAGCTGGCTATGCTGGCTCAGGAATTCTGGGAGTTGAAGTCCACGAGTCATAAAAGAACCAAGGTTGCCTGCCCCTGCTCTAGGGCATTCATTTAATTTTCTCCTCTTTCCTTTTCTTTTCTCCTCCTCGCTCTCATCCATTTCCCCCCCACCACTTCTTTCCACGAAACTCGCAACTTTCAACCCACCTATTGCAGGAAAGCCGTTATCTAATCTGGCCTAAAAATTAAGCTTTGGGGAACCCTCTTTCACCCTTTCCCGCCCCGTGCTCACTTTGCAAATTATTTTCTCCTTCCTCTTTTTCTCAACTTCAAGCGCTTTAAGAACTGTGGACTTCAACTCCTAGAATTCCTAACATGCTGGCTGGGGGAATTCTGAGGCTTGAAGTCCACAACTCTTAAACTGCTTGAGGTTGAGAAACATTGCTCTGGAGGACCTTCTCTCTCCCCCCCCCCCACCATTTTAAGAGATAAGCAATTGAATTTAGGCTCTTTTTCTGCTCCAGTTCCCAATGGAGCAGGCGAGGAGTAGCCGGCGGGATTGCATTCAGAATGGATTTTTCTCTAAATCCTTGCTCCTCTTGTGACGCCATTGTGGCCATCTTGGCTGCGGGCAGAACCTGGTTGTTCTCCCAGCATCCCTGCTTAAATTCGTTCATTTTTTTTTTCTCTTTCATTCTTGCCCGGGAAAGTGGTTGCGGTCCCTGGAAAGGAAAAATCTGCAAGTCTGCGCCGCATTTTAAAAATGAACAGAGGAAAAATAAAAAGGAACTGCTTGCGTCCCTGGGTGGGCTCGAACCACCAACCTTTCGGTTAACAGCCGAACGCGCTAACCGATTGCGCCACAGAGACCAAGCTTCCCTAAGTTCTTCTGCCACGACTCTTAAGGAGGAAGATGCAATATTGGATGCTGAACAAGAATGAAAAAGCAGAGGAATAGAAGAATAGAGTGTGCCTTTTTAGGACATTTTCTGGGCAGCTTACAATTAGAGTAAAAACTCATAAAAACAACCAGAATTAAAAACAAGAGAATTAACATTAAAATAGTTGCTGAGAACTTTGTCATTTATTTGCTAAATATATCTCTGGCATATCTTTAAAGAAACTTGCAAGGGGATCTCCACAACAATCCTGTGAGGTAGGTTAGGGTGAGTCTCTGGGATTACTACCGTTATTACTACTACTACTACTATTACTACTACTACTAATAATAATAATAATAATAATGTGCAGTGATCAGGCTTTGTGCTGTCCCCCAAATGGAAATGCGGCCTCTGGTTCCAATCATTTCTTTGGGTCCGAGTTGGACTCCAGCTGGGCCGGTGCTACAGAGTAGACCAGGGATCTTCAAACTTGGCCCTTTCATCTTGTGGACTTCAACTCCCAGAATTCCTCAGCCAGCATTCCTGGCTGAGGAATTCTGGGAGTTGAAGTCCACAAGTCATGAAAGGGCCAGGTTTGAAGACCCCTGGAGTAGACTAAAACAGCCTTTCCAAATCTCAGCAACTTTAACATGTGTGAACTTCAATTCCCAGAAGCCTCCAGCCAGCAACTTTAAGAATGGATGTCATCCTAGCAGGCTGGCTGGAGAATTCTGGAAGTTGAAGTCGATGTATCTTAAAAGTTATAGAGGTTGAGAAACAGCAGGTCTTGTGATGTTATCTTGGGAGGACTTGGAGCTTGTTAGTCTTGAGGAAGTGGAGAGATTCTTGGAACTGTCGGTGCAAACACGCACAAAACACACACACATTTTGGCCTGCAAGGAGTTGAGTGTAAAGCTGAATCTATTAAGTATTATGTGTATCCTTTAAAACAGTGGTTCTCAACCTGTGGGTCGGGACCCCGTTTGGGGTCGAACGACTATTTCACGAGAGTCGCCAAACAACGCAGTCCGCCATTTTCCCCCCTTTTCCTTAGCTGTGCTACTCCCTTTTATTCTATTGGCTTTTGAAAGCCAATAGAATAGACTCTCTTGGCCCTGCTGAGCCCGCCAAAAGCCCCAGTCTGCAAACGGTGCTGCAAGTTGTCTGCAGCGAAGCGAGCTGTCTGGAAGTTTCCACCCCTACCTGCTGAGCAACTACTAAAAATGTAAGTAAAAGAGGGCCAGGGGTGGGAGGTGGGAGGCCAGCAGGCGCAGGGGGGGTTGCTGGCGCGCGTGGGGCCCGGCGGATGCCTTACCTCCCTTGGGCTGGACCAGCTGGTGGCCCAGCCGGTGGTCGGCCTGCGCCATCTCTGCCGCTTGCCAGCTACGCCTCGGCCAGCGCAGGAGGCGGCACCACACATGTGCGGCGCTCCCGGGCAGGGAAAGTCCTCGACCTACGACCGGTTGGGTAGTCCTCGACTTACAACCGGTTGGGGTCACGGCATTAAAAAGGTTGAGAACCACTGCTTTAAAAAGTGGTTTTACCAACTCCAAATAAGAGTGGTCCATTCCCTCCTCAGGAAGCCTTCACTGAATCCAAATGAATTGCACAATTGTTGTCCTTTTTAGGGAAAGTTGAAAAGGGGTTTGCAGCTTTAAAGATCCTGGGGAAAATGGAGTAGTCCTTGACTTACAACCACAATTGAGCCCAAATTTCTGTTGCTAAGAGAGACAGTCAAGTGAATTTTGCCTCATTTTATAGCCTTTCTTGTCCGTTGTTAAGTGAATCTGGTTTCCCCATTGACTTTGCTAGTCAGAAGGTTGCAAAAGGGGATCCCATGACCCCGGGACATTGCAACCGTCATAAATATGAGCCAGTTGCCAAGCATCCGAATTTTGATCCCGTGACCATGGGGAGGGTGCAAGGTTGTAAGTGTGGAAAATGGTCAAAAGTCACGTTTTTCAGTGTGGTCGTAACTTCAGTCACTAAACAAACTGTTGTAGGTTGAAGAGCTCCTGTATCTACCAGGTCATAGTATGAAAAACAAATTTATTAAGTTACCTTTGGCAGGTTTGGGAATACATCCATCCTGGTCCTTCTAGGCCTCTTGGTGGTCTTTGATACCATCTGCCACGGCCTCCTGCTAGACCAGGTCAGTGGGAGGAATGGGACTGTAGTGGTTTCCCCCCCCCCTTGCCCAGTGTTAGTTTCAGTTGGTTTTGGGGTCAGAGTGGTCTAACCTTTTGGGGGGGGAGCTTTGAGTCACTGTTGAACTCTGTTTGGGCTTCCCCCAAGGGTTAGGGCAGGGATAGGCAACCTTGGCTCTTTTATGACTCGTGGACTTCAACTCCCAGAATTCCTGAACCAGCATGGCTCAGCATGGAAACCTCTCCCTTTCCCCTCAGCATGGCTGGCTCAGGAATTCTGGGAGTTGAAGTCCACGAGTCATCAAAGAGCCAAGGTTGCCTATCCCTGGGTTAGGGTTAAGGCTATTAGGACAGATGCTTCCTCTGCAGCTCTTCCTCCTCTTTCCAAGGTCGTTCCCACAGACCCTTACAACAGAAGTCGACTCCCTCGACCAATTCCCAGGTAATTATTAAGAAAAAAATTTTCTGGTTCAGGTAGTCCTCAACTTATGACCACAGTTGGGACCAGAATTTTTGGGGGGGCTAAGCAAGGCGGTCGTTACAATGAGTCATACCTGATCTTTTTTACTTTTCTCCCGTGGTTAAGTGCAGCTGCAGTTGTTAATTGAACCGTGTGGTCAATTAAGCAAATCTGGCTTCCTCCAGTGATTTTGCCTATCAGAAGCCGGCTGGGAAGGTCGCAAATGACGATCTGATGACCTCAGGATGCTGCCACAACCGTTATACATACATGTCTGTGGCCAAGCGCCTGAATTTTGAACATGGGACCGTGGGAATGCTGCAGCTGTCCTAAGTCAGTAATCTCCCCCCTTTGTGGCCTGGTGACCCGGATGAGCAGGGTGGGGTGGAGGGGAATTGGGCCGCACATGTGGCGGGCCAGCATGCACATGTTCACAACTTGACTTGTAGAAGCAGCGGGCTGGTGCGCACCAGCCCACCTCTTGCGCAAGCTGAGCTGTGCCCACGCATGTGCGCACTCCAGCCAGCCAATTCCAAATAGGCCACGGCCCGGTAGTGGGTCGTGGACCGGGGGCTGGGGACCTCTGTCCTAAGTGCAAGGACCAACTGTTAAGTCCCTTCCCCCCCCAGCTTGGTTGTAATTTTAAACAGTCATTAAATGAATTATAAGTCGAGGACTATCGATACTTCTGAGGCCTGAGAAGACACGACAAGACAACACAAAGCATTGAAAGCTATTTTTATTTATTTATTTTTTTCCAAAATTATAAAACATTAAAGTTGCTGAGTGGGATGTCTCAAGGAATGTCTGTACAGTCAATAAAAATGGAGACTATTGAATGTCATCTGCATTTATCTCCTCCTCCCCCCACCCCACAAATTGATCCAGAATTACAAAATACTGTACGGTAGGATAAGTGTAGTATTGCATAATGTCTTGGCTGATGATGTAAGCAGATTTATAAAAATGAAAAGCAATTTATTTTAGACAACAGTATTGTTTAAACCAGGGTTGGGGAAATATGGCCCTTTTATGACTCGTGGACTTTAACTCCCAGAATTCCTGAGCCAGCCATGCTGAGGAGAAAGGGAGAGGTTTCCATGCTGAGCTATGTTGGCTCAGGAATTCTGGGAGTTGAAGTCCACGAGTCATAAAAGGGGCATAGTTCCCCACATCTGGTAAACAATATTGTATTTTTAAAATGCGCAATTCAGAATTAGGAATTATGCTAAACATATAAAATCAGAAAAGGCCACTCCAACCATTACTCAATACTCCAAGCTTGAAATGAGGTTTTCTGAGGTCAGAAAATTATCAGAACAAGTGTTCCCTGGCTGAAACAGCTATTCTGAGCTCAAAATGAGGTTTTAATAACTTAAAACTGAGCATTTTAGGCTCAAAAACATTTAAATTGAAAACATTGAGTTGTTTTCTCCATGCTTCAAAAATGAATCAGAAGGTCTTCAGAGGTGGTTGAATGCGACAGCTTCCTGCTGCTCATTAAAGCAACACATTCTTCCCCCACCCCACCCCCAGGCAAGCCTGAAACACATGGCATCTTTAAGAGTTGCATTACAGTGTGGCTGATTTAATGAGCCAACTCATAACCTATCTTTTTCAGGCTTGTGTAGAAGGCTTAAAAAAGGATGCAGCTGCTTTAATGAGTAGTAAAGAGTGGCTGCCCTCGCCCACATTGCAAAACACTTCTGAATAAGTCTGGAAGTGTGCCTGGTCCTACAACTTAGCATCAGCACAGACTGAATGAATCTCAACCCCCCCCCCCCAAATTACTGAAGAACAGAAGAGAGAAGAGTTTGCAATACATACATGCATGTTGCTTCTGGCTAAATACGTATGGAAGCCATTTCAAACATTGTCCAGAGTTAACAATAGGCTCAAATCACAATCAAATCTATAAGGAGCTGATACTTATTAATATAATTTTAAAGTGTATTTTAAATTGGAGGGAGCTTCTTCTTATGTAGCTGAGATTTGTTTCGACAGACCAAACAAAATTCATTTTCTTCTAAATAAATGGAGACGGAGGAAACAGCAGGCATACCTATTCCTCCTATTTCATAGATATCTCTTTCATATACATCTATATAAAAAAAATAAATTTAATAATTTGTACAAAACCATGGAATTTAATTTCCCTTACAAGACCCGGTACATAAATGGATGGAAAAAGAGCTTCAGAGTTTATTTTCTACAGATGGCTTCTTGCTTTCTTGGCACAATTTTGCTTCTCCTCTTGAATTTCTTTTTCAAATTCTTCTCTTTCCCTGAAGGATTTAAAAAAAAGTTGCAAGCAAACAAAACAAACCTCTAGCAATGGGGAGGCTGAAACCCTGAGATTTTGTTTCTTTTTTTTTTTAAAGAATAGAACAAAGACCAACTGTGTTTCCTTCAGCCATAAATGCTGAACTTCACATTTTATTTGTTACAGCAAGGGGGAAAAAGTATTTGATCCCCTGCTGATTTTGTACATTTGCCCACTGACAAAGAAATGATCAGTCTATAATTTTAATGGTAGATTTATCTTAACAGTGAGAGACAGAATAACAACAACAAAAATCCAGAAAAACGCATTTCAAAAAAGTTATAAATTGATTTGCATTTTAATGAGTGAAATAAGTACGTGAGCCCTTTGCAAAACATGACTTAGTAGTTGGTGGCAAAACCCTTGTTGGCAATCACAGAGGTCAGACGTTTCTTGAGGATGGCCACCAGGTTTGCACATATCTCAGGAGGGATTTTGTCCCACTTCTCTTTGCAGATCCTCTCCAAGTCATTAAGGTTTCGAGGCTGACGTTGGGCAGCTCTAACTTTCAGCTCCCTCCACAGATTTTCTATGGGATTAAGGTCTGGAGACTGGCTAGGCCACTCCAGGACATTAATGTGCTTCTTCTTGAGCCACTCCTTTGTTGCCTTGGCCGTGTGTTTTGGGTCATTGCCATGCTGGAATATCCATCCACAACCCATTTTCAATGCCCTGGCTGAGGGAAGGAGGTTCTCACGCAAGATTTGACGATACATGACCCCGTCCATCACCCCTTTGATGCGGAGAAGTTGTCCTGTCCCCTTAGCAGAAAAAACACGCCCAAAGCATAATATTTCCACCTCCATGTTTGATGGTGGGGATGGTGTTCTTGGGGTCACAGGCAGCATTCCTCCTCCTCCTCCTCACACGGCGAGTTGATGCCAAAGAGCTAGATTTTGGTCTCCTCTGACCACAACACTTTCACCCAGTTCTCCTCTGAATCATTCAGATGTTTATTGGCAAACTTCAGACGGGCCTGTACATGGGCTTTCTTGAACAGGGGGACCTTGCGGGCACTGCAGGATTTCAGTCCTTCACGGCGTAGTGTGTTACCAATTGTTTTCTTGGTGACTTTGGTCCCAGCTGCCTTGAAATCATTGACAAGAGTTCTGGGCTGATTCCTCACTGTTCTCATGATCATTGCAACTCCACGAGGTGAGATCTTACATGGAGCCCCAGACCGAGGGAGACTGACAGTTATTTTGTGTTTCTTCCATTTGTGAATAATCGCACCAACTGCTGTCACCTTCTCACCCAGCTGTTTGGTGATAGTCTTGTAGCCCATTCCAGCCTTGTGTAGGTCTACAATCTTGTCCCTGACATCCTTGGACAGTTCTTTGGTCTTGACCATGGTGGAAAATTTGGAATCTGATTGATTGGTTGATTGATTGCTTCTGTGAATACAAGTAACAAACTGAGATCGGGAGCACTCCTTTTAAGAGAGTGCTCTTAATCTCAGCTCATTACCTGTATAAAAGACACCTGGGAGCCAGATATCTTGCTGATTGATAGGCGATCAAATACTTATTTCACTCATTAAAATGCAAATCAATTTATAACTTTTCTGAAATGCGTTTTTCTGGATTTTGTTACTGTTATTCTGTCTCTCACTGTTGAAGTAAACCTACCATTAAATTTTTAGACTGATCATTTCTTTGTCAGTGGGCAAACGTACAAAATCAGCAGGGGATCAAATACTTCCCCCCCCCTCACTGTACATTGTCAACAAGGTTATACAAGAAGTCCTCAACTTATGACCACAATTGGGGCCAGAATATCTGTCGCTGATCAGAGTGGTCGTTAAATGAGTCACGCCCAATTTTGCAACCTTTTTGCCACTGTTAAGCAAACCGCTGCAGTTGTTAAGCAAATCATGTGGTGGTTATGTGAATCATGTGGTCATTAAATGAATCCGGCTTCCCCCCATTGACTGCTTGTCAGAAGCTGTCTGGGAGGTGGAAAATGGCAATCACATGACCTCAGAACGTTGCAGCCATCGTAAATACATGCCAGTGGCCAAGGGCTTGAATTTGGATCAAGTTACCGTAGAGATGATGCGATGGTCCTAAGTGGAGGAACCGGTTGTAAGCCGATTTTTTTTCAGTGGCATTGTAACTTCAAACAGTGACTAACCAAATAGTTGCAAGCAAATAAAACCTGTAGTTCCAAGTAATGTTTCTGAAATGGCCAAATATTTTTTTTTATGGAGCAGGACTAGAATGCCATAAACAAAGGGTAGCTGTCTTAGGGCAGTTTATTAAATCGGTGCAATGAATCTGGCTCCCCCATTGACTTTGCTTGTCAGAAGGTCGCAAAAGGTGATCCCACGATCCCAAGATATTGCAACCGTCTTCAATATGAGTCAGTTGCCAGGCGTCTGAATTTTGATCACCTGACCATGGGGATGCCACAGTGGTCGTGAAGTATGAAAAACGGCCATAGGTCAATTTTTCCAATGCTGTTGTAACTTTTAAAAGCCATTAAATGAAACAGATTAATTAAACAGATGAACGGTTGTAAGTCGAGGACTCCCTGTAGTGTACTGGCTTGAAGGCACTCCTTTTGGGTGGGAGCCTATGCTCTCCAAGATGTGGCTTCTCTAATTACTGCTGGCCCTTCGCTAGATCTGGGGTCCTCAACCTTGACAACTTTAAGACTTGTGGACTTCAACTCCCAGAATTCCTCAGCTTTGAGGACCCCTGCGCTAGATGGTTGGACCAATTTTGCTTTTGAAATCTTAGCAGGAAGACTGGCATTTTTTGTGAGTCTGAGATTTGTGCATGAATAATAATAATAATAATAATAATAATAATAATAATAATAATAATAATAATAATAATTGGAAGAGACCTTGGAGGTCTTCTAGTCCAATCCCCTGCTCAGACAGGAAACCCTATACCATTTCAGACAAATGGCTGTCCATTCTCTTCTTAAAAACTTCCAGTTTTGGAGCATTCACAACTTCTAGAGGCAAGCTATTCCATGATTAATTGTTCTAACTGTCTCCTTAGTTCTAGGTTGCTTCTCTCCTTGATTAGTTTTCCTCCGTTGCTTCTTGTCCTGCCTTCAGGCACTTTGAAGAATGGCTTGATTCCTTCTTCTTTGGGGAAGCCCCTGAGATATTGGAACACTGCTATAATGTTCCCCCTCATCCTTCTCTTCATTAAACTAGACATACCCAATTGCAGCAACCGTTCTTCATATATTTTAGCCTCCAGCCCCCTGATCATCTTTGTTGCTCTTCTCTGCACTCTTTCTAGAGTCTCAACATCTTTTCTACATTGTGGTGACCAAAACTGGATGCAGTGTTCCAAGTGTGGCCTTCCCAAGGCATTATAAAGTGGTATTGACACTTCATGTGATCTTGATTCTGTCCCTCTGTTAATGCAGCCTAGCACTGTGTTGGCCTTTTTGGCAGCTGCAGCACAGGGCTGGCTCATATTTAAGTGGTTGTCCACTAGGACTCCAAGATCCCTCTCACAGTTACTACTGTTGAGCCAGGTACCTCCTAAACTATACCTGTGCATTTGGTTTTTCTTGTCTAAATGTAGAACCTTACTTTTTTCACCACTGAATTTCATTTTGTTAGATAGCGCCATTGCACTTCATATATGTCCAGAATCTACTAATGTGGGTGAGATGTATAAAAATATATATCTAGGAGAGGCAGTTTGGTGTAGTGCTTAAGGAAGCAGTCTAGAAACTCAGAAGCAAAGAGTTCTAATACTGCCTTAGGTACAAAGACAGCTGGGGGGCTTTGGGCCAATGTCAGACCTAAGAGCAAGCAATGGCAAATCACTGGCAAACCTGAGATTCAGGGAAGGAAGGAAGGAAGGAAGGAAGGAAGGAAGGAAGGAAGGAAGGAAGGAAGGAAGGAAGGAAGGAAGGAAGGAAGGAAGGAAGGAAGGAAGGAAGGAAGGAAGGAAGGAAGATTCACAAACACACAGACATAATTCCAGAATTCCTGGCAACCATCTTCGTACTGTTTGGAAATTCTGGGAATGGTAATCCCAACATGCCTAGAAGTACCAGGTGTGGGATAACTGGAAAACAATGTCACCACTGCATAATGTGACAGGCACACAAGAGACTATGTGAGGTAAGCAGACCTATCGTATGAGGTAGGCAGACGTATATATGGGATGGAGGTCTGAGCAGATACCTTTTGCTCACTGGAGGTCCGTTGATGTATTTTTCTTCTGCTGTCTTGTAGTCAATCTGATCCACAGCAGAAATTGCATAAATGATGGCCTAGAGACAAAAAGAAAAGGGCACAGTTTAGAGCAGTGTTTCTCAACCATGGCCTTTTTAAGATGTGTGGACTTCAATTCCCAGAATTCCACACCTCTTAAAGTGGCCAAGGCTGAGAAACATTGGTTTAGAGCAGTGGTTCTCAACCTGTGGGTCGGGACCCCATTTGGGGTTGAACGACCATTTCACGGGGGTCGCCAAACAACACAGTCCACCATTTTTTTCCCCTTTTCCTTAGCTGTGCTACTCCCTTTTATTCTATTGGCTTTTGAAAGCCAATAGAATAGACTCTCTTGAATAGAGTCTAATTCTATTGGCTTTCAAAAGCCAATAGGAATTGTCCAGGCTGTCTCTGCCCCGCTGAGCCCGCCAAAAGTCCATTCTGCAAACGTTGCTGCAAGTTGTCTGCAGCGAAGGCGAGCTGTCTGGAAGCTTCCACCCCTCCCTGCTGAGCAACTACTAAAAATGTAAGTAAAAGAGGGCCAGGGGTGGGAGGTGGGAGGCTGGCGGGCGCAGGGAGGGTTGCTGGCGCGCGTGGGGCCTGGCGGGTGCCTTATCTCCCTTGGGCTGGGCCAGCTGGTGGCCCAGCCAGTGGTCGGCCTATGCCGTCTCTGCCGCTTGCCAGCTACGCCTCGGCCGGCGCAGGGGGCGACACCACGCTCCCGGGCAGGGAAAGTCCTTGACTTACGACCAGTTGGGTAGTCCTCGACTTACGACCGGTTGGGGGTCACAGCATTAAAAAGGTTGAGAACCACTGGTTTAGAGGCCATTTTGTCAACATGTTCTGAGGAGGAAGGGGGGAGGAGGAGAGAGGGCTGCAACTTAGTGGCAGAAGAAAACACTCTCAATTCCTATTTTGGTGTCTGTCTCCAAGGATGGCTATGAAGAATTTCTACCTGAATCCTTGGGAGAGCTGAAATCTGCTAATCTAGTCACATACAACCAGAGGGGTTGAGTTGCACATGGAGGAATGACTCAGGACAAAGTCTCCGCTTATCTTCCACATCCTCCACTTCACTTACTTCTGGAAAAAGTACTTCAAGGACAAATTTGGCACTGTCTCTAGTTTTAACCGGCAGCTTCTTGGCTCCCACTTCACGATACACTTTCTTTAAGTAGTTGAGCACAAGGTCTTGCTGATAATCATCTTCCAGGTAGGTCTCCAGGATCAAGTACCGGGGTGTCTTAAGGGATTTCCTCAACCAGCGCGACTGTTTCTGGCTCTTTAGGATGGAGCGAAGGTGCTCGTCGGCTCCTTTGGCTTTCACGATGAACTCCACGATCCGCTTGTTGGCTCTGTCTCGGGCGGCTCGCGTCCGGTCAGGAAGAACCTTCTTCGTTTGCTTCGGGGGGGTGATCTCGGCGAGAAGCTCCCCACTGTCCAGCACCTCCATTTGAGGGAAGCTCATCTGGGATAAAGTATGGAAGGATTCTTTTCGGACCGGAGAGCCTGGGAAAAGAGAAGCCAGGGACTTTGATCAGAGCTGGATCAACAACTAAAAATAGGAGTCTCCCAACTTGGCAGCTTTAAGACTGGTGGACTTCAGCTCCCAGAATTCATGGCTGGCCGGGGAGTTCTGGGGGTTGAAGTCCACAAGTCTTAAACTTGCCAAGTTTGGAGATCCCGGTCTAAAAAGTTGCTAATCCCTATTTCTCTTCCTGTCACACAATCACAGGTGATCCTTGTCTTATAACCTGTCACTTAACGATTGTTCAAAGTTACACCATGAAGTTACCCTTTCCCCAAATTACATATGACATTTCAAGTTATGATAGCTGCACACATACATACATCCTGCAGAATAATAATAATAATAATAATAATTATTATTATTATTATTTCAAAGAGACAAGCACCTGCAACATAACACCCCAGACTTAACAATTGTTGATAAGAAAGACAAAAAAGTCTGGATGGTGGACGTGGCAGTGCCTGGAGATAGCAGAATAGAAGAGAAAGAACTGGAGAAGATAACAAAATACAAAGACCTACAAATAGAAATAGAAAGACTGTGGCAAAAGCAAGCAAGGGTAGTACCAATAGTGATAGGCTCCTTGGGTGCAATCCCAAAACAACTGGACCACCACTTGAACACCACTGGCATTGACAAATTCGCTATTAGTCAATTGCAAAAGGCGGCCTTACTAGGAACTGCTTCCATCCTGCGACGATACCTGTAATACCATCAAACATCCACATCTGCCTATCCCAGGTCCTTGGCAAGGACTCGATAGGTAGACAAAGCCAAATCCAGTCTGAACATCTGGCTGACTGTGCGATGATTAATAATAATAATAATAACAACAAGAATAATAATAATGTTGGAAGGGACCTTGGCGGTCATTTAATCCAACCCCTGCTCAGGCAGGAAACCCTGTACCATGTCAGACAAATGGCTGTAATTTTGGTAACTGGCCCATCTTTATGGCTATTCGCAGGGTCCTAAGGTCAAGTAACGAGGATTTCTGATGCCCTTCTGCCAGTTTTTGGTAAAAGCACACCCTCTGGGGAAAATTGATTCCATCAATGATTGTGGCATCCATTTGGAGACCGTAATGTTTGCCACCATAAAAAGTGTAAAAAAAATTGGATTCAGTCACATGATACCTCAACTTACGACCACAACAACTTACGATCATAAATCCAGGATCAATGATGATCGTAAGTTGAGGACTACCTGTAACATAGCATACAGGTAACATTCTCAGGAGGGTGAGCATCAGAAGTTTAAAGGCTGTCCATACATGGAAGTGGAGAAGGGCTGAGCGCCATTAGTAACATCAGAGCAGTTTTACAAGAGAAGGAATTCTAAGCTGGCCCTGTTGTCATTAAGCTGCTTTAATTTTGTTATATAATGCAGACCACCCTCTTCCAAAGAAGGGAGCTTCTTAAGATACAAAAATGAAGCTTACTCACTCATATCATCAGCACAGTATTCCAGGAAGGATCCCACAAAAGAATGGCAACCTAAGAAGACAGGATGGTGATGTTATCCATTCAGTCATGTCTGATTCTTGGCGATTCTGTGGGTCAGCTCTCTCCATAGTTTCAGATCTTGCACGATTTCTCTGAGTTTTTCTATGCTCTGGCTGATGTCAGCTTTGATGCTGTCCAAGCAGTGTTCTTTGATGGCCTGGTTGCCTTTTACTGCTAACTCTTCCAAACATAATTGCTTTCTCTCATTAACTCCCCCATATGACATGGCCAAAATAAGTGAAACAGTTTTGTGATTCCCCCATCCCCAGTGACAAAGAGGACAAGAAAAATGCTCAAATTGGGGATGGATGACTGTGTGCAAAGGCCTTGCAAGGGGCCCCTGACATTCTAAAACTGACGATCAAACTATAATTTTATTTACTATCATCCGAAGAGAAAATGATTGACTACAGGGCTGGACAATATGTCAAGGTATTGATTTAACAGCTAACCAGCTTATGTAATGTAAGATGTAATGTAATGGTGGCAATGACTCAGCAGGGTCTGTGTCTCTTTAAGAGCATTTGTATAAAGGGAAGGCTCTGCTGATGTGCTCTCTCTCTTCCGTTTCCTGCTGTAATTGTGGTTTGTTGGATCCTGCTGTATTACCTCGTGTATGTATATTGTTCCTGGTGCATGATATTGTAGATAGGGTAAGATAAACCACCACTTAATACAAACCACTGTTTACTGTGTTTACTCTTGGGTTATCTCAGAGCAATAAGACTGTGCACACTCTGACACAATATCACTTAAATTCAATTTAAATGCAAATCAAGTAAGACTTATTATGTTATTATTAGATTTATATCCCATCTTAATTTTATCAACTCAAAATATCTGAACATTTGCTCAGTGTTGACACAGGTACTCCTTGACTTACAGTTATTTGCTCAGTGACAGTTTGAAGTTACAACAGTGCTGAAAAATGTGACTTACGACCAGTCCTCGCACTTACAACCACTGCAGGATCCCTACAGTCATGTGATCGAACTGTGGGTGTTTGACAAATGTCCCCCACTGACATTTGCTTCTGACAAGCAATGTCAGTGGGGGAAGCCAGATTCGTTGAACGATTGTGTGATTCACTTAACAACCGGGGCAAAAAAAAAAATTTCATAAAATCAGGTGTGACTCACTTCACCACCATGCTTAGCAACGAAAATTCTGGCTATAAGTTGAAGACTACCTGTACTTGATCCCCTTCAAAACAACTCCCTGAAAAAGTGATCTGGAAACTTGGGTCAGCGTCCTCTGTAAAGGTTCCCAGATTACCCGAGAACCAATTGTTTTTGTTAAGCTGAAATTCAGGCCACGAATAGCAAAATTGCCCACATCTGCTGCAACGTGGTCCTGAAGGTAGGAAAATGCAGACCGATTCCTCTGGCTTTCAGGACAGGCAGAGAAGTCATCCCACAGTTTCTGACCTGGATGTTCCCTAACTTCATTCATCGTTTTTTTCCCACCTCTTGTAACATGGACCGTAGGGTACAGAGAGTCCTTGACTTATGACCAGTTGCTTAGTGACCGTTCAAAATTCAAAAGATGGAACTGATTATTTATGGTCCAGATTCAAAATTCTGATGGCATCCTCCCACTGCAGCCATGCAATCACGCTTTGGGCATTGGGCAACCAGGCCAGTTTTATGGCTGTTTGCAGCATCCACGTGAGTGGATTTTACGATAAATTTACCCCCAACTGGTGTTTAATTCCACTTTTCAGCAAAACCATGCCTATAGCGACCCATTGGTTTGCTTAATGACCGCTACAAAAACGCCTGTGAAATTGTGTTGGCCATGGGACTGACCCGCTTTATGACCTCAGTGGACAGCCTCTATTACAGTCATAACTCAAGGACAATCTGCAGGTCTGCAAAGAAGAGTTAAAGGAGACGATGGGATGGTAACAGAGGAAGCTTATGACTACAATTGAGCCCCAAAATTTCCATTGCTAAGCAAGGCAGCTGTTAAGTGCCCCATTTTACAGCCTTTTTTTGCCACAGTTATTAAGCAAATCACTGCAAAGGTTAGGTGAATCGGGCGGTCATTAAGTGAATCTGGCTTCCCCCATTGACTGGGGTTGTTGAAAGCCAGCTGGTCACAAACAGTGATCACACGACTCTGGGACAGTGCAAGTGTCATAAACACATGTCAAGTTGCCAAGCACCTGAATTTTGATCGCTTGACCATGGGGATGCTGCAACGGTTGTAAGGCATTGTAACTTCGGTCACTAAACAAACGGCTGTACGTCGAGGGCTACTTGTAAAGCTAGTCGGAACACTGCAGCCAGATCTCCAGCTAAAAAATGCAGGAAATAAGTTGACCAAGCCGCGAAAAGACCACCCACTCATTAAATCTAGGATGGGAATTGTGAGAGAGCTCCTTGGGCCTTTCCATCTTACCTACTCTAATTCTGTAATCTGCAATCAAGCTGATGCACCAGTTGAGTTCGTGGCTATAGTTCGCCCTGGCTTTCTCCTGCGAAGAAGAACAAGTTAGGCAAACAGGCTCTGCTTATAGGAGAGGGCCATGTGGGCTTCCCAGAGCACCGTGGAATTTATTCCCGCAGGCTTTACTCACTATCAGCGCCTGTTTCTCTTGGCAGTCAAAGTGCTTTAGGTTTCTGAGGGAAGTCGAGAACCTGCAGGGAGAAGGGAAAGAAAACGACATCTTAGCCTGCCAGAGGAATGATTTTTTTCAGCCCCCTCCGATATCATTCTAGACCAGGGTAGGCAACCTCGGCTCTTTTATGACTCGTGGACTTCAACTCTCAGAATTCCTGAGTCAGCCATGCTAAGGGGAAAGAGAGAGGTTTCCAAGCTGAGCCATGCTGGCTCAGGGATTCTGGGAATTGAAGTCCACGAGTCATAAAAGAGCCGACTACTCCTGTTCTAGATCAGTGTCTCTCAACCTTAACCATCTTAAGAAGCGTGGACTTCCAGAATGCTGGTTGGGGAATTCTGGGAGTTGAAGTCCATGAGTCATAAAAGAGTCAAGGTTGCCTACCCCTGTTCTAGACCAGTGTCTCTCAACCTTAACCATCTTGAGAAGCGTGGACTTCCAAAATGCTGGTTGGGGAATTCTGGGAGTTGAAGTCCATGAGTCATAAAAGAGCCGACTACTCCTGTTCTAGGCCAGTGTCTCTCAACCTTAACCATCTTAAGAGGCGTGGACTTCCAGAATGCTGGTTGGGGAATTCTGGGAGTTGAACTCCCAGATTTTATAAAACCCAGCTGAAGGCCTAGGACTGGGGCGATGGCACACGTGCCCACAGAGCGGGCTCTGCCTGCCACCTGTGGCTAGATAGATATGAATGGATAGATATGATATGAATGGATAGACAGATATGAATGGATAGACAGAGATGGATAGATAGATAAAAGGGAGAATATTTGTAGCTCAGGATTGAACTGAGAGGTCCTTTGTGCTCTCAGAGCCTGGTTGTTTTCTTGCAGATGTTTTTGACTAGATAGATAGAAATCCTGATCTTGCATTCAAAATTAAATCTACTGCAAACCTGAAGTAGGGATGCTTAGTCTGTGGGGATGCAGGACCTGTGGGCAAGAGGATGTTGTAGGCAACCCCAGTTTTAACCCTATGTATATCCCCACGTTTGTGAATATAAAGAGGATTGCCTATTTCCTTCTGGTATAAAATCACACACAATTATTTAAAAAAAGATCACTACAATTTCTCATGTGCTCAAGATATTACCATAAGGCAGTGCTGGTGAACCTATGGCATGGGTGCCAGAGGCGGCACTCAGAGCCCTCTCTGTGGGCACGCACGCCGTCGCCCCAGCCCTGCCACCTCCGTGACCCTATCCTCACCAGCAGCCCCCCCGGAGGAGAGTCGCCCAGGCGCAACCTGCGCAGAGCAGCGCAGCCAAGGACATGGCAGCCAGGCAACAGGGACAAGATTCTGCTCTCGCGCCCCATCACATACAGATGATGCTGCGGGGCGCGGACAGAAGGCGTGGCCGCCATGACACTGCTGGGCCGCCTGGCCGATCTGCTGTGGCGGGCCGTGGAGGTGGTGGGTGGCCCTGTGGGCAGGAGAGGCGGGGCGGGGCAGGGGTGAGGCGGTTTTTGGGCACTCGGTCTCTAAAAGGTTCGCCATCACTGCCATAAGGTACACAGAAGCCTAGAGTTGGTCAAGAAGATTCATTCCAAGTCAGGATCCTGAAATGTTCCAAGGACCTCATCCTGCTCGCTCCTGGATTTATTTCCAGGAAGACCAACCTGACTCTGGAACGTTCACTTTTGGAGAAATATGGGAATGTTCCAGAATATGGATGAGTCTGGTTTGCACGTGGATACTACAAACTAGGCCTCTCAATCTATTTCTACACATGCCAAATGGGCGGAGCCTTTTTTTGGCTCATCTATTGGGGGGAGGGGAGACCATTTTCTGCAGAAGAAGCAGGGAGCCTTGTTTTGAACAAGGAAATACAGGTAGTCCTCGACTTACAAACATTCGTTTAGTGACAATTTGGAGTTACAAACGTGACTTAAGACTGATGTTCACTCTTACGACCCCTGCAGCATCCCCATGTCATGTGATCAAAATTCGGATGCTTGGCAACCGGCCTGTTTTTATGATGTGGTTTTGGGGTCACGTCACCACTTTTTGTTACCTGCTGACAAGCAAAGACAACGGGGAAGCCAGATTCGCTTAACAACCGGGGTTGCTAACTTAACACTCTAGTGATTCGCTGAACAACTGTGCCAAGGAGGTTGTAAAATGGGGGCAAAAGTCACCTAGCCACTGTCTCGGTCAGCAATGGAAAATCTGGGGCTCAACTGCGGCCATCCGTCAAGGACTACCTGTGACTCAGCCCTCAGGAGGAGGTGCCAGAAAAAGGGTTCACATCAGCAAATGAAACGGAAAGGAAAGGAACGGGAGAGGAGCGCAACACCAGAGAACTAAAATAGCTTTATTTACCCCTTGGTTTTCGTGGCATCCATGCATTTCTCTATGAGGACGACATTGGCTTTCTTAGCTTTCCGATTTACCTTTTTCACCTGCCAGGAGACAAGCAGAACAGCTGAACAGCTCGGAGGGCCACAGCTTTGCAATCAATGCATCTATTCAAAGGGACAAGTACACAGACTGGTTGGCCCGGCTACATCTCTGCAGCTGGCCCTTTGCAGCACATTATGAGCTAAACAGGAGGGCAGCACATTATGAGCTAGATCGGGGCCAGCAACTATGGCCCCTTTACTCCCTATGCTCTTCAACTCCCAGGAAATTCTGGCAGTTGAAGTCCGCAGGTGGTAAAGGGGCCATAGTTACCTACCCCTGAGCTAGATCATCCCACGTGAGCACAATTAATTAAAAGGAGATTAGGGTTTTCCAGGTGTGATCAGGCCGCGGAAGCGTTCTCCGGCTCAAATCTGGACCGCAGCATCCTGGAAAAGGCCTCTGGAGCCCGGATCCAGCCTCCAGAGGCACAGGGAAGCGTCCCTCAGCTTCGGTTCTGTTCTCTGTTGCAGAGAACAGAGGCCTAAATTACCATGAGATCATGCAAGATCAGTAACATGAGATCTCGCCCCACTGATCTCACGTGATCTTGCGTTACTTTAGGCCTCCATTCTCTGCGAATGCATCGTAGGCCTGGAGCAGCCAAGAAAACGAAGGATCTTGATTTTTGCAGGGTGAGTATTGAAGGCCTGGTGCCTATGGAGACCCGGGCAGAGGTGGGGAGAGAGGGAATAACCAGGGTGAATGTTGCAGAGCCACTGCGGTCACTCGTAAGGGTGAACGACTGCCCTGGTGCTGCAAAATTCGTAACTTCGGGACTTGTTCATAAGCACTAGGGGGAGCTCATCACATAACTTTGAACGAGCTCGTAACTCAGGGATTACCTGTAATGTAAAGCTATAATTTGGATAAAACTGAAAACTATGGAAACTATTAAGATTTTCTACTTAAAACAATATTGACAAAATTACAAGAAAATAATATTTTCGTTTTAAAAGCTGGAAAATAGACACTGACATCTAGTGGCAGAACAGAGTATACAACTATAGCTGTCCTGCCTCAGAAATTGGCAAGACACCCAGAAACAGAGCAATTTTATCCCTTTGATCCTCAAGGACCCCTAGCTAAACAGAGAACAGCTGGGAATAGAAGAAAGAAAACACACTGGGCAGAATGAGAAATACAATTGTTTATAAAAACTGCTGACCTTCTTGGATTATAAATACTTACTGAGCTGTGATATTTAAGTTTAAGAATAGTCTGCAGAGAAAGAAAAACTTTGACCTTTTGGCTATTCTTCTAGGGGGGAAATTACTGGATTGTTTTTAAATGACTGAACATTTTGGATTGTTTATAAAGATAAGAAATATAAAAGACTATAGTGTTTGGAATTTAAGACTGGTTGGTTTGATGAAAATGGAGGTTGTGTATACAACTAAAAGTGGTACAAAACCACATGCAATATTCTTTTCTAAAATCCCCAGTCTGGAACATCAATCTGCAGGAGAAATACTTCAAGATAAGACAAATATTTTCCAGGAGGAAATGTACACTATCTTGCAACTAATTCAAATGACAATGGCTTTAAATCATAATGAGATTAAAAATAACTTTGATGATATAAATGAACACATTTTTGACCTAAGCTTACAATTAAAAAATTCCGAGAAAATGGTGATAATGAACAAACAAATTAGAAAACAGAACAAAAACTAGAGGAACGTGATTCAAAGATGGAGGCTACAAATGAAGAAAACCACAAGTTAACACAGATGAAGAAAATTTTACAAGATTTTGCTATAATATTGGAATATTGTTCATTTTTCAGAACAACAAAACAAACCTGAAGACAAGAAAGATTTGATAAAATGGACAATAGAGCTATCAGGAGAACTACTAAAGTCTGGGAGACAAAAAATGGAAGGAGAAATTGAGGGAGAAGAAAAGTGGAGGCTTCTTAACAAGTATAAATGGGTGAAACTCCCCCTCAAAAGCATCTTACTCAATTTACTCTAACAAAACGTATAAAATACAGGAAGAATCATATGGTAAGCTGAATACACTGACTTGGAAAGCTGCTAGGCAAGAGAAGAAGGCGAGAGCCAGACTCAAGAGAGATGATCTGACTTACCAGATGGAGTACTACATGACAAAAACATTTGTTTGAATATGGTTAAAAGAATAGTTAAATTTTGGATACGAATGGGTTCTATAGTAAGAGAGATGTGATTTATAAGTAGTATAGTATTGCTTTATGATATGAGAAATATAAAAATAATGAGATTATTTAAATGAATGAAATGTTTTGGATATTCAAATGTAATCAACTTGGAGAAAATTATAACTGATAAGAAATGTTTTGAATACTGAAGGGGAACCCAAGCTTAAATAAGAACAGACGAGAACCCGGACTTAAGAGAGATGACTTGACATACCAGGTAGAGTATCATATGACCAGGCATTTGTCTAAATATGGTTAAAAGAATAGTTAAATTTTGGAAATGAAGAGGTTTTACAGTAAGAAAAATGTGATTCATAAGTAGTATAGAATTTTATTTCTTTTTTCTTTCCTTTTTATGATATGGGAAATGTAAAAATATTGGGATGCTTTAAACAAACAAAATATTTTGGATATTTAAATGTAATCAATTTTGAGAAAACCATAACTGACAAGAAATGTTTTGATTACTGAGGGGAAACTAAGCTTAAATAGGAGTTCTGAAAAACAGGATCTATACTGATTTACATAAGATGATTTTTTGCAAATGCAATTGTAAAATAAGCTGACTAAAAAAGACATTACATACTGATGTTATTGTGAAATATTAGAAAAAAAATGTTTATATTTAAATTTGTATGTGCTGATAGTATTAAGAACTATATTTGCTTAATGTTGGTAAAAGGAGAACACTATTGGAAGAAGAGAGGACCAAGCAAAAGTATTTCTAGTCAATATGTTGATTATGAAAGTATAGAAATTAACTACTATTGACTGTTGTTAAATATATGAACCCAGACATGTTGTTTACTAAGTACTAAAGATGGTTATCCTAAAAAATCAATAAAATATACTAAAAATAAAAATAATTAAAAGGAGACCAACAGTTCTACTGCTGTCACTTTGTTTTTTTTCTTTAATCCCAACTTTCTAGCCCAAAGGTGCTCCAGGCCAGTTTTCTCAACTTAAAACAATTTTAAGAGGCGTGGACTTCAACTCCCAGAATTCCTCAGCTAGCATGAATTCTGGGAATTGATGTCTACTCATTATATGACTGGTTGAGGAATTCTAGCCAATTCCCTGCTCCGTGGACATTTGTCTCCAATGTTACTTTGAGGAAAAGAAAGATGCAATAAAATTGTGGCTGTTTTGTGGTTGCTAGGAGTTGAAAAGGCACATAAACAATCTATTGAGTATAGGCAGCCCTCAAGTGATCATTCAAGGACACAATGGCATTGAAAAAAGGGAAGGGTCCTTGGTGCTGTCTGAGCTTATTTGTTTTCTTGCAGACATTTCATTACCCAACTAGGTAACATCAGTGCTTAGTAAGACTTGCTCTCAATTTATCCTTCAGGTTCTTTATCCTCAAATGTAGGTGCTTGGCAACCGGCATATATTTACCACAGTTGCAGGGTCCCGGGATCATGAGATCACCATTTGCAACCTTCCCAGCTGGCTTCCATGCCATGCTTAGGAATGGAAATCCTGATCCAATTGTGGTCATAAGGTGAGGACTATGTATAATTGACATGATAGCAGTGTTCCAATATCCCAGGGGCTGCCACAAAGAAGAGGGAGTCAAGCTATTTTCCAAGGCACCTGAAGGCAGGACAAGAAGCAACGGATGGAAACTAATCAAGGAGAGAAGCAACCTGGAACTAAGGAGAAATTCCCTGATAGTTAGAACAATTAACCAGTGGAACAACCTGCCTCCAGAAACGGTGAATGCTCCAACACTGGAAGTTTTTAAGAAGAAACTGGACAGCCATTTGTCTGAAATGGTATAGGATTTCCTGCCTGAGCAGGGGTTGGACTAGAAGACCTTGCTCAATAGTAGTAACTGTGAGAGGGATCTCAGAGTCCTAGTGCACAATTATTTAAATATGAGCCAGCAGTGTGCTGCAGCTGCCAAAACAGTGCTGGGCTGCATTAACAGAGGGATAGAATCAAGATCACGTGAAGTATTAATACCATTTTACAATTCCTTGGTAAGGCCACACTTGGAATACTGCATCCAGTTTTGGTCACCACGATGTAAAAAAGATGTTGAGACTCTAGAAAGAGTACAGAGAAGAACAACAAAGATGATCAGGGGGCTGGAGGCTAAAGCATATAAGGAAAGGCTGCTGGAATTGGGTATGTCTAGTTTAACAAAGAGAAGGACGAGGGGGGACATGATAGCAGTCTTCCAGTATCTCAGGGGCTGCCCCAAAGAAGAGGGAGTCAAGCTATTCTCCAAGGCGCCTGAGGGCAGGACAAGAAGCAATGGGTGGAAACTAACCAAAGAGAGAAGCAACCTAGAACTAAGGAGAAACTTCCTGACAGTTAGAACAATTAACCAGTGGAACAACCTGCCTCCAGAAGCAGTGAATGCTCCAACACTGGAAGTTTTTAAGAAGAGGCTGGACAGCCATTTGTCTGAAACGGTATAGGGTTTCCTGCCTGAGCAGGGGGTTGGACTCTATGACCTCCAAGGTCCCTCCCAACTTTATTACTATTACTACTATTACCTCCAAGACCTTCTATTCTTATTCTTATTGTTATTCTATTCTTATTCCTTTCCCTATTCTATTCTATTCTATTCTATTCTATTCTATTCTATTCTATTCTATTCTATTCTATTCTATTCTATTCAGAAAAAACAAAGTCCAGTTGCCTTTTGAAAAAACACTTTAGGACTTGATCTTGACCATTTTTTTGCTGTTGATTAAAATGGAACAATGTTTAGATTCTGGGTGTAATTATTGTACCATTATTATTTTGGATGATTATTTGGTAAATTCAAGGGGTACGTTGTTACTCTGTGCGCTTCCTAGAGTCACAGCTGTCAGATGGACAGCTATATAAACTGCTTCCATAAGTAAATAAATAATTAATACTCTTACCACAGCTGGCCAGTAGGGATATCTTGGGAGCTTGCACCAAACCATCATCCCCGCTTCAAAACAACAAGGCTCTACAATGCATAGAGTTTGGAGAAAGGATTAAAACTGGAGTAATACTCTCGCAAGGAATTCCTAGTGAAACTTCTACGATACTGTTGTTCGGCCTTAGATCAGAGAATTGTATAAAGAGCTTGCCACCTTCCCTGGCTTCCACAATGGGTCTTCTGGTTTTATTGCTACTATTTTGAGGCACTGTTTCCTAGCCTCGTTGTTGTTGTTGTTAGTTGTGAAGTCATGTCCGACCCATCGCGACCCCACGGACAACGTTCCTCCAGGCCTTCCTGTCCTCTACCATCTTCTGGAGTCCATTGAAGCTCATGCCTACTGCTTCAGTGACTCCATCCAGCCACCTCGTTCTCTGTTGTCCCCTTCTTCCCTTGCCCTCCATTTTTCCCAGCATCAGGCTCTTCTCCAGTGAGTCCTTCCTTCTTATTAAGTGGCCAAAGTACTTGAGTTTCAACTTCAGGATCTGGCCTTCTAAAGAGCAGTCAGGGTTGATCCTCTCTAGGACTGACCGGTTTGATTGCCTTGCAGTCCAGGGGAATGTCTCAATGTATGGACTTCATTTTCCAGAATTCTCCTCAGTTGACATGCTGGCTATGGAATTCTGGGATCTGAAGTCCAAGACCTGAGAATTGCCAAGAACAAAAACACTGTATTAGGGGAAGGTGCCAATGCTTGATCAGCCTTTCTTAACCTTTCATCCTGGAGGAATACCTGAAATAATGTTCAGGTTTCCAGGAACTCTTGCATAAGCATTATTAGAAATATAGCTAGTGGCTGCGTGCACCGCCAAATTAAAAAAAAAAATCCCTAATGACTTTTAGCAATCTCTCATGGAACGCAGAGTTTCATGAAACTCCATTTGAGTTTCATGAAACTCCATTTGTGCTACAGTAACAAGGCAATGCCACTGAATCAAATACAAAGACAAATTTCAATATAGGTAGTCCTTATTTAGCAACTGCTTCCTTTAGTGACCTTTGCAATTACAATGATGATGAAAAAATAACTTTGTGTCCCATCCTCACATTTATGGGCTTCACAGATCTGTAACACAAGGGGAAACCGCAGTAAAATCATAAGCACAGCCAGCCATGCTTTCACTTAATGACCAAGTTGCCGATCCAACTGTGGTCACTAAGCAGGGACTATCTATATACATGAAGGGGAATCCACAAAAAGCTGAAAGGGACGTGAGGTTGAAAAGAAGTGAACTCCACTAAGAGCCAAGCATCCATAGGAAGATGTCAGAAAGGTGGGCTTCTGATAAGCACATTCACCTCTCTCATTCGCAGAAACCAAATGGGGAAAAAATGTGCGCATATCATGTACATTGCATGTAATACCTTATTGTGGCTTTCAATTTTTCAAATACATTTGATGCCTTTGAATCCTGGAAATTGCCTGGGTGAGTCGATGCCTTCTTCTTGGCTAGATTTTCAGAAGCATTTTACCATTATCTATTTCTTCTTTAGGCTCGGGGGGCGGGGGGGGGGTTGGTTGGTTCAGGGATAGGCAACCTTGGCTCTTTTATGACTCGTGGACTTCAACTCCCAGAATTCCTGAGCCAGCCATGCTGAGGGGACAGCGAGAGGTTTCCATGCTGAGCCATGCTGGCTCAGGGATTCTGGGAGTTGAAGTCCACGAATCATAAAAGAGCCAAGGTTGCCTACCCCTGGCTTTGGTCCAAACTTTTCCCCAGCTGGCTTGGTGGCTAAGGCAGGACTAGAACTCAGTGCCCCAGTTTCTAGCCTGGTGCCTTCACCACTACACCAAATTGGCTCTTGGGTTTCAGAACAGGTTATGTTTCCAGCAGTTCCCCCAAAATTTGCAATTCCAGGACTATGGATGTAAAGCGGTGTTTCTCAACCTTTCCTTCACCGCAGACCCCCTTTAAATACCTTTTGTGACCACAGACCATGGCCATGGACCCTCCCAAGACTTAATTCAAATTTAAATCATAACATTTTTTTCAAGCCTTCGCAGACCCCTGTGATGACACTGCGGCCCCTCAGGTTGAGAATCATGGATGTAAAGGAGCAATTATCTTAAATCGCCCAGGGCTTACTAAGCCAAGAAACTGCCCATTTCAGAAGACTGAAATCCCGCTTATCTTACCATCGCTGAACGTGACTGAGGATGGGTGTCCGCAGAAAGCTTAAATGAGCCATAAGGGCAACAGCGAGCGAAGTGACGCCCCTTTTTTATTGATGCTGCAACACCCTTGTTGCTAAGCAAGTGAGCAGAAGAGACAAGGCCTTCTCGGAGTGGCCCCAAGCCTTGGTCAACCATCTTTGTGGAGATTCGCCCCCCACCTCCCAATCTAAGACAGTATGATTCCTACTAGACATTGTAAGGTTTGGTTCAGCCATTGCTCATCGACTGTGTTGGTTTGGAGATAACAATATTTTGAAGAGAGCAGCAGGGCAAAAGTAGTAACTACCTTGACGCAGAAAGATGCTGGGTAATTCTTCCTCCTCCTCCTCTTCATCCTTTGACTCTGGGCTTGGACTCACTTTTCTTACAGGACTCAGCTGCAGTGAAAGATCAGATGCCTGATCTGCTAATGAAGGAATACCGTGCTGATTTCAGTTTTACACATACAGCATTGGAATTTGCACTGACAAATCTCAAAGATGGGCCCGGAGACACAGCACAATGAGGACATGCAGGCAGTCCTCGACTTATGACCGTGATGGAGCCCGGAGTTACGGCCTAAATCCTGCTGATTCTTAATAGCAATAGCGCTTAGATTTATATACCGCTTCACAGGGCTGTACAGCCCTCTCTAAGTGGTTTGCAGAGTCAGCCTATTGCCCGCAACCATCTGGGTTCTCATTTTACCCACCTCGGCAGGATGGAAGGCTGAGTCAATTTACCCTGAGGTGGTCAGGATCGAACTGCTGGCAGCCGGCAGTCAGCAGAAGTAGCCTGCAGTACTGCATTCTAACCACTGCGCCACCACGTGACCGTGCCAAATTATACTACCTTTTTCATGCTGATCATTAAGCGATTCCATTGTCTGCAATTGTCTTTTTTTTTGGGGGGGGGCAGAAACTGGAAGTAAACACCTGGCCAAAAAAAAAAAAAAAAACCACAACCATCGTAAATCACATTCACGTGACCCTGGGACACCGCAAACGGATGTAAATGCAAGCAGGTTGCCGAGAGCTCAAAATAGGATCGTGTGACTGTAGACCCAAAGGAGACGGAGGACCCTGGGACGTCAATCCAGGTTGTGAGTAACCCTGGGGAGATCCATTGTAATCTCAAACAGTTGCAAAGCCACTGGTCATAAGTCTGTAATCAAGTTTTACCTTTTAAACCAGACATTTCATATCTGTTTGGGTTTTGTTCTAGTTGCTCCCTCAATACATAGGGAGAGTTTTGGGCAGAGAAAATTCTTTTTCATTGGTTCGAGACAAGCCAGCACAAATATCCCAGGCAAAAGGGATTTTTTTGGGGGGGAGGGCATCCTCCCTGCACACCCTCCCAATACAGTTAGTCCTTGACTTATGGCCACAAGTGAGCCCAAAATTTACCTTGCCAAGCAAGACAGTTAAGTGAGTTTTGCCCCATTTTACGACCTTTCTCGCCACAGTTGTTAAGTGAATCACTGCAGCTGTTAAGTGAATCTGGCTTTGCTTTGTCAGAAGGTTGCAAAAGGGGATCACATGCCCCCGGAAGCATATATGGTAAAAAATATAATATTTTTGCTTTTTTTTTTCCATAATAGAATCCATTCCCAGTTCGAGGGTATACTTACATATGGTACTTATTTGGTAAATTAAAAACCAGTTTATGGTTTTCATCTGATTATGACGTTATCCATTCAATCGTGTCTGATTCCTGGCGATGGTATGGGTCAGCTCTCCCCACAGCTTGCACTCTTTCTTTGAGTTTTTCTATGCTCCGGCCGGTGTCAGCTTTGATGGCGTCCGGCCACCGTGTTCTTTTGCATTTCCTTTTACTGCTAACTTTCCCAAGCCTAATTGCTTTTTTCCAGTGAATTCCCCCCACGTGACATGGCCAAAATAAGCGAGAGGCGGTTTTGTGATTTTCGCCTTCCAGTGACATGTCTGGTGTTATGCGTTCCAGTAGTCGCTTTGCTATCCAAGGAGGGTTTCATTTACAACCCTGATATTCTCCCCAATTTTTAGAACATTTTTGCATGGATTATTTCAAATCAAATGCCGCTTCTTAATTTGGTATACAGGTAAGTCCTTGATTAACAGCCACCAGTTCAGCAACTGTACAAAGTCACAACAGCGCTGGTGGTTATAACTAGTCCTCAAAGTTCTGATCATCCCAGCACCCCCTACAGATGTAATGGGGACCCTTTTAGAGACCGAATGCCCAAAGTGCAACCCAAAACCCACTTATGTATCGTTGGGTGCCGGGTGGGCATGGCTCATTGGGTGGGCGTGGCTGCGGTGGCAAGGGCAGACTGGGTGTGACTAAAAAGTTCAATCAATCAATTCCAACTTTGCGAGATCTTTTTTTTGAATTTGAATAAGTTGAAATTGATTGATTGATTGATTGAACCCTTTTTTTTTTCTGCACATGGCAATGGAGGCCTAAAGCGAAAAGGTTTTATAAAACCCAGCTGAAGGCCTAGGATTGGGGCGACAGCACACGTGCCCACAGCGAGGGCTCTGTGTGCCACCTGTAGCACACGTGCCATAGGTTTGCCACCACAGCTATACAGTCATGTAATGGTGATCTGAGCATTTGGCAACTATACGTTCTCAGCTTATGACCGGTTGCTTAGTGACTGTCCAAACACACCCCTGAAAAGGTACTTATGACCTGGTTCCAAAGTTTTGATGGCCGCTCATTTTGAACACTTGGCAACTGGCCCACATTTATGGCTGTTTGTTGGCATCCCACAGTCACATGACTACGGTTTACGTTTTTGTCAATAACCAGTGTTTACTTCTGCTTTTTGGCAAAACTGCACCATAGCAAACAATGAGTTTCCTTAAAGACCCCTGCAAATAAGGCAATACAATCAGGACAGTCATGTAGGTGACCTGCTTTATGACCGTCACGACTTACAGTACGTCTGTAATGGGCAGGCTCCATTACAGCTGTATGTTGAGGACCAGCTGTACGAACATCCAGGCTCAGACATGAAGTCAGTCACTTTCAGTCAACCTGCCTCACAGGCTTGTCGTTGCAGAGATAGGATGCAGTGAGTTTCCCCTTATAGGCCACTGTGAGCCTTCAGTGGGATATAAACTTAAAAAAAAAAAGATTGGATGAAGCCCAGCTGCATTTAGCCATTGCACCATGCTGGGCTGGGTTTCAATTATGGATTGAAAACTGAACCACAACGATATGTTCATGCATCAGATTCAGCTGCAAACTGCTCCAAAGTCACCTTGAACTGTGAGGTGGGTGGCAATGTCATCAAAGAAGTAAATAAAAATAAATGTCACGGTTTTTCCCCTCCTTCTAATCAGTCCTGTCTGATTCTCAGGGACTGCCTGGAAAAGCCCCTACAGTTTTCCTGACAAGGTTTTAAGTGGTTTGCTGTCATCTGCTTCCCAGGACTGAGAGAAAATGACTGGCCCAAGGTCACCCAGCTGGCTTTGTGCCTAAGGGGGGGGGGGATTGGGACTCACAATCTCTCACTTTCTAGCCTGACGCCTTTAACACTACGCCAAAATGGCTCTCTTTTTAACTTATGGCTAGGAAGCCCCAACAGTGCAAGTTCGCACTGCGTTCCGAATGTGAGCCAGCAGTGTGCTGCAGCTGCCAAAAAGGCCAACACAGTGCTAGGCTGCATTAACAGAGGGATAGAATCAAGATCACGTGAAGTATTAATACCACTTTACAATGCCCTGGTAAGGCCACACTTGGAATACTGCATCCAGTTTTGGTCGCCACGATATGAACAAAATGTTGAGACTCTACAGAGAGTGCAGAGAAGAGCAATCAAGATGATTAGGGGACTGGAGGCTAAAACATATAAAGAACGGTTGCAGGAATTGGGTATGTCCATTTTAATAAAAAGAAGGACTAGGGATGAAATCATAATAGTGTTCCAGTATCTCAGGGGCTTCCACAAAGAAGAGGGGGTCAAGTTATTCTCCAAAGCACCTGAAGGCAAGACAAGAAGCAACGGAGAGAAACTAATCAAGGAGAAAATCAACCTAGAACTAAGGAGACATTTCCTGACAGTTGGAACAATTAATCAGTGGAACAGCTTGACTTCAGAAGTTATACAGAGGATTTTAAGAAGAGATTGGAGAATCATTTGTCTGAAATGGTATAGGGTCTCCTGCTTGAGCAAGGACTTGGACTAGAGGACCTTTCAGGTCCCTTCCAACTCTGTTATTCTGTTATAAACCCACACCTGTAGGAAGTGACCAGGCTGAGCCCAAGGGAGGGGTCAAACGTGTCATCAGTCATGAGTCCCTTTGCACCTACAAATCCATCCCACGGTGAATTCCTTATTTACCACCAAATTGCTTACAGTGTTAGTAGTTCAGATTCTTGTAGAGAGCTTAAGCTTGCAATAAATCTTTATATATACCTATTTGAACTGCCTGGACCTCCTGATTTCCCTGGCGCTTGGCAATACCAGTTCACTGCACTCAGAGACAGCACACGAACCTTCCCTTCCTTACTAGCTCTCCCCAACACTCACAGCTTCCAGCCACCACATCTTTTGCAAGATGGACGTCATCTTACCTTCCTTATCCGCAACTTCTGGAAGACAGCCCCCTTGATCTCCAGCTCCATGTGGGTCAGGCTCTCTTTTCAATTCCCAAGGAGCACGGTCCAGAGAAAGTTCTCTGTAGTCTCCGGGCTCTCCCTCACTCGCGCACTGTGACTTTTCCAGGGAGGGTTCCTGAGTTGCCAGGATTTGCTTTGAGCAAGCGCCTTCCAAGCGCGGGGAACGCCTGGTGCCGCTGGAGGGCAGCTGCCATTTCTTCCGTGTCAATGCCTCTTGCCTGGCTAGGAGAGCATCTGCTGGCTGGGATGAAAACCCTTCGACGGCGGGTCCCAGCAATCTCCTCCGCAGTTTCGTGGCGGCCTCGTCTCGTCTTCCCTTTGCTGGCGGGAACCTGGAGCAGCACTTGCGAGAAGCAGAGTCCGGGGTGCTGGTTCTCGCCGGCCGGTTGGAAGGTGCCTTCTTGCCAGATGGACCACCGACTTGCTGATGCTCCTTGGAGGTCAGGGAAGACCTCTGGGCGGGTTGGAGTGGTGCTGCAAGACTTTGTGAGATGTTTGGCTTTAGGGCTTTCAAAACCCTGCCGGCCTCCCAGGCTGGGTTCCTGACACCTGATGCAGATGAGGGAGGTTTGCAGGTAGACAGGTTCTTGGTCCTCGACTTCAAAGGTCTCAAGGATGTGGATGGAGAATCTGGAAGGGTCCCGCTTGCCTCCACCCTCTTTGTCCCACGGGGGCTTCTTCGGGGAGAAAGCGGTCCCTGGGGAGCTGAGGAGGGTTCTCGCTGTCCTTTCCCACTTGACGCCTCTTCACTCCTTCGCCTAAAAGAATCGGGACCTTTAGCAGCTACCTGTTCCTTCATGATCTCCAGCGATTCTCTCAAGGCTCGGCGATAAGTCAACTCTTCTACAACCTTCTGGGTTTCATTGCTCAGACCTGGGAAGGGAGTCAGTGGAGATCAGCGAGGGGGGTTTACTTATTATTTATCTATTGTCTATTGGTGGTTAAATCCGATTAACCATAGTTTCAATAGTTTCATAGGTTTAACCATAGTTTCAATTGGGAAAATGTGACCATCCTAGACCAGACCAAATTCCAAAAATACAGGGAATTTCTAGAAGCCTGGCATTCTGACCAATTAGCCATCAATAATCACATAGACATTAACAACATCTATAGACTATGCAGGGATCTTCAAACTTGGCCTTTTTATGATTTGTGGACTTCAGCTCCCAGAATCCTGGCTGAGGGATTCTGGGAGCTGAAGTCCACAAATCATAAAAGGGCCAAGTTTGAAGACCCCTGGACTATGCAAAAGAGACAACCAACCAGCCCAAAAGGGAACAAAAAGCACTAGCACCCAGATCAGCATAGATTATCTCCCAGGTCACCTTCAGACCAACAAACAAGTAAGCAATACCCCAATCAAGAAACTGCAAAGAGCCATTAGTAAACAGCCCTACTGAAGAATCTCATAAGGCCGCCCCCACCCACACAGATAGGCAAGACACCAGAATATAAACTGACAGCAAACAGCACTCCTTACTAGTACTGATGATGTTACCTAGTTAGGGTAATGAAATATCTGCAACATTTGTCCAAAATGGTATAGGGCCATGGTGGCGAACCTATGGCACGCATGCCACAGGTGGCACGCAGAGCCCTCTCTGCGGGCATGTGCACCGTCGTCCCAGTCCTAGGCCTTCAGCTGGGTTTTATAAAACCTTTTCGCTTTAGGCCTCCACTGCCGTGTGCAAAAACAAAAAAGGTTCAATCAATCAATTTCAACTCGCAGGAAAAAAAAAAAAAGATCTTGCAAAGTTGGAACTGATTGATTGAACATTTTACTCCCACCCAGTCTGCCGTTATCATAGAAGCCACGCCCGCCCAGCACCCGACGATACATAAGTGGGTTTTGGTTTGCAGTTTGGGCACTCGGTCTCTAAAAGGTTCGCCATCGCTGGTATAGAGTTTCCTTCCTGAGCAGGGGGTTGGACTTGATGACCTCCAAGGTTCCTTCCAACTTTATTTATTATTATTATTATTATTATAAAACAAGCAAGCTCAGAGAGCACCAAGGACTCCTCAACCAACACGTTGAATTGCACCCAGAAGCAAACTGGCAGCAAGAGCAGCTTGTGAAACATCAGTGTAACAGGGCCACCTCACAGATCTCAAGGACTGTCCGTGTGACTGCATTTTGCACCAGTTGTAGCTTCTGAATGCTCTTCAAGGGTAGCCCCATGCAGAGCGTGTTGCCATAGTCCAGGAGAGAGATGATCCGGGTTTGAATGACTGAGCGCTCGAGCTCCTGATCCAGGAAGGGGAGGCTGCACTGTAGGTCAACAATTTTTGAACCAAAGTACCTCAAATGGGCTAACTTACAGAACGAGCCCGAAATCTGGAAGCCATGACTTTGATGGAATTGAAATATGGCCAATTTTAGGAAACATTTGATTACATAAAAATGATCACACCACATTTTATGACATAATGTAAAATGTCATAAAATGTTTCCTGGGGTCAACTGCAGGATAATTTACAGTTTCCTTTTACACCACCCTGACCCCCATCCTTGGAAGGCTCTCCCTTAAGTTCCCAAATGGGAAACAGAGAGCAACTGGGGGGAAGGCTTTATAGTTAATTTGTGGAATTCCCTGCCGCTGAAGGGAAAGTTAGTACTCACTTGGTTTCCCCCTCCCCCAACCACTGGTTAAACCTCCATCTTTAGGAAAGTATAAAAACCTCCAGCATTTTACAGAGACGTATTTGAAGAAATATATTTCCTGCTGTATCATCCCAACCTTATTGCATAATCTTTTGCCACCATTTTGAATCTTGTAGTATCTATCCATCCATATATATCTCTATTCATCCATCATCTATCTATCTATCGATCTATCTATTATCGATCTATCTATCTATCTATCCATCATCTATTTATCTATCCATCCATCCATCCATCCATCCATCCATCATCCTTCCATGTCTTTCTGTTTGCCTGTCTCTATCCGTCTCTCTGTGTATATCTATCCATCCATCTTGTCTCTTTCTCTCCATCCATATCTCTCTCTCTGTCTAGCTCTCTTTCTATCTTTATCTGTCTGTGTCTGTCTGTCTATCTGTCTTCTGTCTGTCTGTCTGTCTATCTATCTATCTATCTATCTATCTATCTATCTATCTATCTATCTATCGGGGAACTCATCAAATTTGCAGACGACACCAAGCTGGCAGGAATAGCCAACACTCCAGAAGACAGGCTTCAGATACAGAAGGATCTGGACAGACTTGAACACTGGGCACTAACTAACAAATGAAATTCAATGGTGAAAAAAGCAAGGTTCTACATTTAGGCAAGAAAAACCAAATGCACAAGTACAGCATAGGTGGCACCATGCTCAATAGTAGTAACTGTGAGAGGGACCTCGGAGTCCTAGTAGACAATCACTTAAATATGAGCCAGCAGTGTGCTGCAGCTGCCAAAAAGGCCAACACAGTGCTAGGCTGCATTAACAGAGGGATAGAATCAAGATCACGTGAAGTATTAATACCACTCTTTAATGCCTTGGTAAGGCCACACTTGGAATACTGCATCCAGTTTTGGTCACCACGATGTAAAAAAGATGTTGAGACTCTAGAAAGAGTACAGAGAAGAGCAACCAAAGATGATTAGGGGACTGGAGGCTAAAACATATAAGGAACGGTTGCTAGAATTGGGTATGTCTAGTTTAACGAAGAGAAGGACAAGGGGGGACATGATAGCAGTGTTCCAAGATCTCAGGGGCTGCCATAAAGAAGAGGGAATTAAGCTATTCTCCAAAGCACCTGAAGGCAGGACAAGAAGCAATGGGTGGAAACTAATCAAGGAGAGAAGCAACCTAGAACTAAGGAGAAACTTCCTGACAGTTAGAACAATTAATCAGTGGAACAGCTTGCCTCCAGAAGCAGTAAATGCTCCAACACTGGAAGTTTTTAAGAAGAGACTGGACAGCCATTTGTCCGAAATGGTGTAGGGTTTCCTGCCCGAGCAGGGGGTTGGACTAGATGACCTCCAAGGTCCCTTCCAACTTTACTACTACTACTACTACTACTACTACTACTACTATTATTATTATTATTATTATTATTATTATTATTATTATTATTATTATTATCTATCATCTCCATCTATCATCAAAAAGCTTAGCTTTTTAATCATATTTTATTAGTCAAATATTCTCTCCCCTCTGTCTCCATCTTTATCTATCTATCTATTTGTCTGTCTGTCGGTCTGTCTGTAAAACCACCCATCCCCCTCACAGAGGCAATCTAGGTGGTGTACAAATAAAATATTAAAAACCGAAAAAATTTAAAAAGAGGCAAGAGATGTTAAAAATTAATTAAAATGTGTGGGGAGGGCTTTCAGGGCGCTAACCTGCCCCACAGTGGCTGCTTCTTGGTAACGCCTCAAGCAAGACGGCAGAACCATATTTCCACAGCCTTCCAGAAGGCCAGGAGAGAGGAGGCCCACTTCACCTCCAGCAGGGGAGGGAGTGAAAAAATGTCCACAGGGCAGGGAGCAACAAACTTTGCACTGGTTTCTACCCTGGCTGGGGAATTCTGGGAGTTGTAGTACACACCAATTAGTCAAGCTTGAGAGGGTTGTAAAACACTGGGTGTGTGGAAGAGATGTGGGAAAAAATGTGTTTGCTACTGATCCCTCAGAACAACTTGCTTTTTAATGTTGTGGTTTCCTTTTCCTGCTTTTTATCTTGTGAAGCTGCTCAGAGTCCCTTTTGGAGTTGGGCGGCCTAGAAACTGAACAAATTAAGGGAAAAAAAATGCAGGGAGGCTCATGAAAGGAAGCACATGTGACCCCTAATTAACCAGAAGAATTCACTAGCTGAAGATATGGCCCTGTCAGGAATCTGGATAGTGATAAAAATGTACAAAGGGACCTCCAGTCAATGCTGGAAATGTGAAAACAAAATATGAAGGGACATTTTATCACACATGGAGGACTTGTGAGAAAGCCAAGAAACTTTGGATATAAATACACCAACAATACAAAGGATTTTAAAGATTCATATTGTAACAAAAAGAACACCCTGGAACTTTTTTTATTGGGACTTATGGATACTAAATTATAAAAGACTCACAAAAGATTAATTTTGTGTATGGAAGAGTAGTGAAATTCGCACAATGCAGGAACAGATGGTTAAAATTTTTGAAATTGGGCAGGGAGAAAACAACAAATGCTTTTTTTAAAACAAACCTAGAAATATGTTATGGCTTTTTTGCTAAAGGAAGCCAAAATATTAATATGGATTTATTAATTGAAACATATAAGAATTAAATAAGGGTTGAAGGGATGTCTGGAAGAGTTAAGAGAGAGGAGATATGCTAGGTTCGTTAATAACTGTGAAAGAGAAAATCAGAAATCATTATATTTCATAACTTCAGTTGTTTTTTCTTGCACTTCTTTCTTTCCTCTTTTTTTCTTTTCCCTCTTTTTCTTTAGATTTGCTTTTTACTTTATGTAAAATTCTCAATAAATACCAATAAGTAAAAGAATTTGGATGACTATCAAAGAAGTAGAATAAATTTATGAGGGAGAGCAGATCAGTCAAGAGCTTAGAGTCACTTTGAATCACAAGATGGACAGCAAATAAATTTGATAATAATAATAATTATCTATCTGGTGGTTCAAATGCCAAATCCAGTCTGGCCATCTGGCTGACTGTGCAATGAATCAAAATAATAACAACCATTATTATTGGTCAAATGCAAAAGACAGTTTTACTTGGAATAGCTGACACCCTGCAATGATATTTATAACACCATCAAAGATCAACATCTGCCTATCTCAGGTCTTTGGAAAGGACTTGATAGGTGGATAAAAATGCCAAATATAGTCTGAACATCTGGCTGATTGTGCAACAAACCATAATAATATTGATCCTGAAGATTCAAAATTATCCCCAAGCTTGCAAAATTGCAAATGCCAGTTGCCTAAGAAGAACAGAGGGAGAACATTAAAGTTTCATCTCCTGCTTAGAGTAACTTTGGTCTCAGCCCTAGTCTCTTCATAGGTTGGTTGTGGGAAAATAAGTAGAGGGAGTATTAAGTGCACTCCCTTGAATTGTACAGGTAGTCCTCAACTTACGACCTCAACTGAGCCCAAAATTTCTGTTGCTAAGTGAGTCAATTAAGTGAATTTTGCCTCATTTTACAACCTTTCTTGCCACAGGTGTTAACTGAATCACTGCAGTTGTTAAGTTACTAACACAGTTGTTACGTGAATCTGGCTTCCCCACTGACTTTGCTTGTCAGAAGGTCGCAAAAGGGGACTACATGACTCTGGGACACGGCAATGGTCATAAATGCGACTCAGTTGCCAAGCAGCTGAATTTTGATCGGGTGACCATGGGGATGCTGCGAAGTGTGAAAAACAGTCCTAGGTCACTTTTTTTTCAAAGCTGTTGTAATTTGAATGGTTACTGAATGAATGGTTGTAAGTCAAGGACTACCTGTGCCAATACCCTACAGTGTGGGGGGGGGGAATTAAAATGCACCTTAGCTTGAACTAGCAAGGCTACTTTTTGCTCCCTAAATTATTTTCTCTTACAGATAGTCCTCAATTTAGGGCCAGTCCCTTAGCCACCATTTTAAGTTCTGATGAACCTTCCTGGGGAATACTTATGAGCTGGTTATGAAATTCTGATAGCCATCTTCCCCTGCGGTCACATGACCACACTTTGAGTGCTTGACAATCAGCCTGCATTTATGGCTGTTTGCAGCACCCCATGATTACGCGGCTTCGTTTTATGATGTTTTCGCCAAAAATTGCCATTCACTTTCAGTAAAAAAAAAAAAAGTCATAAAATCAGGACGTGGCCCATTTTACAACAGTGATTGACAGACTCCATTACAGTCATAAGTTAAGGACTACCTATACTGAGTTTATATGATCCGCTTGGTTCTCACCCAGTTTATTCTTTTACTCTTAAGCTGCCTTTTGTATACAGGTGGGGTCCGAGGTTAAGAATAACCGAGTAACAGAATTGGAAGGGATCTTGGAATCTTTAGTTCAACCTCCTGCTCAGGCAGGAGACCCTGTACCAGGGGTAGACAACCTTGGCTCTTTTATGACTCGTGGACTTCAACTCCCAGAATTCCTGAGCCAGCATGGCTCAGCTTGGAAACCTCTCCCTGTCCCCTCAGCGTGGCTGGCTCAGGAATTCTGGGAGTTGAAGTCCACAAATCTTAAGAGAGCCAAGGTTGCCTACCCCTGGCCTATGCCATTTCAGACAAATGGTTGTCCAGTCTCTTCTTAAAAACCTCCATTGCTGGAGGAAGTATTTAGTTCTATTCCTAAATCTGTTTTTAATCTGTCTTTAAATCCAATTTGTATGTAGGTTGGAACTGGCACTTACAAATGGACTTCCTTTTACTAAAACAGGGTGGATGGTGGTGTCCTTCCTCAAGCCAACAAACCGCTGAAGCCACACAATGCTTTCAGGAACTGCTGAAAACAGGCTGTATATTAAAAACACACAGCTTCAGTGAGTTCCTGCAAGCCTAGTGTGGCCTCAGCAGCCTGTTGGAAGGGGAACATTGTCTATCATTTTTCGTAATAGACAGCCTATTCATATCTAGGAGGTGTCCTTAAGTTTAATCCATTCTTACATTTTCAAAGAGAAGGGGAAAAATAACATACGCACAAAAAGTGCTATAACAAAAAAGTAAAAAAAATATCTCCTGCAGTCCCTTAGGAACGATGACATCATTTTATCCCTGAATATGTTCCCAACCCCTTATTCCTTCTCTTTAGACTTAGATCTTTTACAGATGCATATCAGTGTTATAAAACAAAAAGTACAGTGAGAAGTTTGGCAAAGAAGACACCTACACACAAGAGAATCAAGAAAACTGTTTTTAACAGAGTTTGCCTGTCTTCAGCTACTTAAGTCTAGCTCGAGATTTTTGTGCCCCTCCTTGTCTAGATAACTTAGCAAAATAGACAACATGCAGGATTTCATGGTCACAGCTGAACAAATAAAAGAAAAACATACCCAATTTATCTGCAATATCTTCAATGCTTTGAACTGTCAGAGGCACAATATGGGCAACACGCATGGTAACCCTTGAAAAAGGGAGAAAGAACAGCATTAAACTTTTGGTTTTATGTGGTCAAGAATGCTTTAGTGCAGTGGTTCTTAACCTGGGCGATATTGCCCCCCAGGGGCGACGCGGGGGCGAAGGAACAAAAAGGGGGCGATAAGGGGGCGATGGAGTGAGACATTTTGGGGACACTTTTGAGATTTTTTCATACAATGAATCGCTGTATATCTGATGGAGGGGGAAGCGCTTTCGAAACATCGTATGCTGAGTGGCTCTGTAAAACATTTTGTATTGTACTTTTTTAGCGTGCACTCCAGTTTGATATTATATTTTCTTTGTGTTTTTTTAATCCTTTTTACAGTGTGTGTGACTATATATACGTTCCTCGAATCTTAATTGAGTTTCAGCGTTTTCATCTTGAAATTCTTAGTTCCTGCATTGCGGTTTGTTCTTATACCCTTTATATATATATTTTTTGCGTCTTAAATTTCACTTGTAATTCAATCATTAAATGTTACTGTTTTTCTTTTCGGGCATTTCACTTTCTTGCAGTTGAATTTTGTTTTCAGTGGTCATTACATTTAAGTGTCTTGAATAAACAAGATAATAATGAAATACATGTATCACGAAGTTTGGGAATAAAGTGATGGGTGGCACCAAAATTTTTTCACACAGTTGAGATATGGGAAAAAGACTGGAAATAAATTATTTGCATCGATATGTCCTGATGACAATTTTAAAGAAAACAAAACGAGTGTTTGCATAAATTGAAGAATTATTTCCTATGTTGTGATTGAGAGGTTATGTTGGGGGAGGGGGGCGATGACAACCTCCTCATTGGCTCAAGGGGGGGATTTGTTCAAAAAGGTTAAGAACCACTGCTTTAGTGCAACAGCTGTGATATTTTTAAATAAATTAGACTTCTAACCCTAAACCTCTTGAGGAAATCAACATCACCACCTTTCCTAATCTAGCATTGTCTTTGATAGGATTACAACTCTAAGATTGCTTGTCAACATTTTGCCAGTTATGACTATTCCTGTTTATCCCGAATAACATCCCAAAAGGAATTTATTTCTTTAAAAAAAACAAAAAACCAGAAGGGAGATTAGGACCTGGGGGCTTTACTGGATTTATTTTGCAAATCAAAGTCAAATCTATTGGTGAAATAGACATATAAAAAAACAGCGCTAACAGGCTGCAAATCCAGAAACTTAACTGTTTATTTTCAGCAATAATTTTGAGCCGAATGGAACCGAGCTTCTCAGGAAGTAGTCGCCCTCTGGAACTCTGGCTTCTAGACAAGATCTGGAAGGTGGAAGAAAAAATATGGATTTTTTTTTTTAAAAAGGTGCACATCCAAATTCTGACAAATAGAAAACCCACAAAACTGCAGCAGAGAAACAAAAACATATTTCAATTGTGAGAAATGCACAAGATAGAGCAGGGCTTTTCAACCTTTTCACCCATTGTACCACTTTTAGGATATGGCAATATCCGAGTATCTCCAGTCGCCTAGCAAGGTGTCAAAAACTTCCTCCTGTCCGAGGTTTCCATTGTTGTGAGCATTTCTGTTAAGGATTGGCAGCGGGCGTGGGATGGGGGTGGGTGTTTGGTTTTTATTCCCACCATGTGCTGGGTGGTTGCAGCAGGTTTTGGTCACTTCACATGACCCTGGGACACTGTGACTGTCATAAATATGAATCAGTTGCCAAGCATCTGAATGTAAATCACAAGACCCTGGAGATGCTGCAACATTCCAGCTGATCGGCGCTTCTTCTGGGCTCAGCAGAAGCACCAGGATCAGCGCCGAGCTCCAGCTGGAGCCTGGCACTGATCCTTGCACTACCACTGAGCCCTGACAGCCCCGAAGAAGCGTCGATCAGCTGGAAAGCGGTACTGATCATGGCACTTCCGCTGAGCCCTGACAGCCCTGCAGCTCCAGCCATCTCTCGCTCAGGCTTGTGCGGTGCTGCCACCGGTTCAGCTCATTCCCCTCCCCTGCTACCACTTTTCTAGGATGGTCGCGTACCACCTGCTAGGTGCCAATGTACCACAGGTGGTACCCGTACTACTGGTTGAAAAGCCATGAGATAGAGCACTGAAGTTGAGGGTTGGTTGTTGTTGTTTTTTTTTTAAAAAAAACAAACGTCCTTCAGAACTCTCAAAAGCCAAAAATTCTCCCTTCCAATGCAGGTGTGGAAGAAAAAAATCCTGAAAATTGAGTCTATCATGAGAAAATAATCAAAAAGTGGGGAAGAGGATGTGATACTTTAATCAGATTCTGAATTACCACTGACATTCCAACAGAAGTGAAAATGTAGAAGACAAGGAAATTCACCAGGAGACTCTGTGTATACATATAATTTTCTTGGCAGCAATATGAGCAATACAAGAGTCAGTCTGATCTAGTGGTTAAGTTACCAGGCTAGAAGCCAGGAGACTGTGAGTTCTAGTCCTGTTTCAGGCACAAAATCCAGCTGGGTAACCTTGAGCCAATCACCAAGTACTAATGCTGCCTTAGCAGTGGCGGAATTCAGCTGGTTCGCACCACTTCAGCAGAACCGGTAGCTAATTTTTTGTTGCCCAGGCTCAGAATGGACTTCCGGAAGTGGCATCCACACAGAGAACGGGTTGTTCACATGTTTGAATCCACCACTGTGACTTATGCAACAAAACTGGCTGGGTGACTTTGGGCTAATCACTCTCTCTCAGAGTGAGGTGGATTGTTATTATTGTGGAGAAAATAAAATGAGGAAGGACTATAAGATATATTCTCTGCCTTGGGTTACTTATAAAGTAATAAAGGTGGGACAAAAGTCAAATAAATAAACACAGTGGCTTGCTACAACCCTCACAACTTGGCTAATGGCACAGCTGGTTCGCCTTTGCAGAAGTCTAAGCAGGGTGAAGCCTGGTTCATACTTGAGATGGGCGACCATTGTGAAATCCTAAAATTAGTCTGGACTTGGAAGCCAAACAAATATATAAGTACATAAATAAATGAAAATGTATCCTAGAAAGCAGAGCCAGAGACCACTGTATGATTGCAATCTAGAATCACCTCTGACTCAAGGGAATTTTTTTCTTTGTATTAAGCTATCACAAACCATGACTGCACTATGACGGATATTTGCAGAAGAATCAGTTGCGTGTCTCCTACATCCCAATGTTATTTACCATTCCCAAATTATGGACAACTGGGTTGGAAGTGACACCCTTCAAATGGGAGGAAGCCTTTGAACCAGGGGTCTTCAAACTTGGCGGCCCTTTTATGACTTGTGGACTTCAACTCCCAGAATTCCTCAGCCAGGCATGCTGGCTGAGGAATTCTGCGAGTTGAAGTCCACAAGTCATAAAAGGCCCAAGTTTGAAGACCCCTGCTTTTAACGTAACAGGGTGACCTTTTGCCAAACTGGGGTTAAATATAGTTTGCAACCAGAGCAAAAAAAAATCCAAAACCAAATACATTGAACTGCTACCTCAGCTCGAATGGGTAAGGTATTTTTAGCCAATCTGGATATGTCTCTTTCCCAAATCAGAAATAATCAGGGTTGGCCCATTACATACCTGTGCTGGCCATAGCCGCTTTTTCCACTTGCAGAAGACATATTCTCCTTCACTCATCATCATCTTTGTTGATGTCAGTCAGGGATCCAGATTCAAGGCTTGCTAGCAGAGATGTTCTAGATTTCAGTAACAAAACGATAAATCATTGTACACGTAGTCCTCGACTTACAATGGTTTGTTTACTGACTGTTCAAAGTTACAATGGCACTAAAAAAAGTGAATTATGACCATTTTTCACATTTATGACCGCTGCAGCATCCCTGTGGGTACATGATCAGAATTCGGATACTTGGCAACTGACTCACATTTATGACGGTTGCAATGCCCCAGGGTCAGGTGATCACCTTTTGTGACCTTCTGACAAGCCAGATTCACTTCACAACTCTGTTACTAACTTAACAACTGCAATGATTCACTTAACAACTGTGGCAAGAAAGGTCATAATATGGAGCAAAACTCACTTAACTGTCTTCCTTAATGACAGAAATTTTGTCAATTGTGTTGTACGTCGTGGACTACTTGTACTCCATTCCATAAAATATTCGTCATTTGTACTATCCACAATAATTTTTATTCTACCTTTTTTCTAGATTGGCTCTTTTATGACTCGTGGACTTCAACTCCCAGAATTCCTGAGCCAGCCATGCTGAGGGGAAAGGGAAAGGTTTTCAAGCTGAGCCATGCTGGCTCAGGAATTCTGGGAGCTGAAGTCCACGAGTCATAAAAGAGCCAAGGTTGCCTACCCCTGTTCTAGATCAGGTCCAAGGAATTCCACTAAGAAAAATATTTATTTGTTCACAGTGATATTCCAGAAAATATTTAGACTATTTAGAATCATAGAATCGCAGGTTGGAAGGGAACGTGGAGGTCTTCTAGTCCAACCCCATGCTCAAGGCACACTTTATACATTCTGATCAAATGGTTGCCCAGTCTACTCTTGAAAATCTCCAGTAATGAAGCACCCACAACTCCAACAGGCAAGCGGTTCCATTATTTTATTTGTATCCCGCCCTTACTATTTTTACAAATAACTGAAAATGATGCACATAGCCAATACACCTTCTTCCTCCTATTTTCCTAACAACAACAGCCATGTGTGTGTTAGGCTGAGAGAGTGACTGGCCCACTCAGCCAGTTGGCTTTCATGGCTATGGTGGGTTATTTGTTAACTTCTTAAATTTTGCCTTAGTTTCAGGTTCAATCTTTCTTCTTTCTTCACCCATTGCTTCTTGTCCTGCCCTCTAGTGCAGGGGTCCCCAACCCCCGGACCGTGGACCAGTACTGGCCCGCGGCATGCCGGCAACCAGGCCGCAGAAACAAGCAAAGCCCCATCCGTGAGATGCAGGCAGCACACAAAAACACACACCCTCCAATCTGTGGAAAAACCTCTCTCCACGTAACCGGTCCCTGGTGCTCAAAAAGTTGGGGACCTCTGCTCTAATGCTTTGGAGAACGGGTTCACCCTCTTTTCTCTGTGACAGCTCCTCAAGTACTGGATGACAGCTATTATGTTACCCCCTAATCCTTCTCTTTGATTTGCACCACAGACCAGCAAAGGTTAGGCTGGAATAGAAGTGATTGGCCCAAACCCATTAACTGTAATATGTTTGGCCAAATTGCCCTGCAAGATCTTTGATTAGAGAAGATGAATCTAAACCAACTCATTCTGCCTGTAACAGTCCAAGCAACGGACAGCAGCACCAACAGAATTCTGCCTACTTAAACTGGCTGATTTGAAAACCAAGAGGATTTCATTAAAGTTTAGATGTCCAGTAGGAACCCCAGGTACTATGCAGAGATATAACCTTTGATTTTTTTTTTAGCCTCACCTTTATTATTTTTATAACACAAGGTAGCAAACATACCTAATATGTTTTCCTCCTAGAAAAAAAATAGAAACTTAAGAAGAGGAAGGAGAATCTGTATGTTTGCCTTGAGTTATAAAGAAAAAAGCAAGATAAAAATCTAAAACTTTCACAAAGCCAAACGGATAGATATTTGCACAGTTTCGTGCTGGCTAAATGTACCAATTGGTGTAAGTGGAAGGGCACCCATCGATTAATTACACACATTGCTCTTCCATTTGGAAAGCAGCACGTCACCTCTGGAGTCCCCACTGAGCATTATATCAGAAACAAATACACGAGATGAGCAGTTATATAAATTTACCAAATAAACAAGAAGAAAATATGCCACTGGGGTAAAAAAATATGCGCACCGGGAAGGCCAGTTCATGCGTTAAAAAATAGGGAAGCAACAGAGCACTTTAAAATAATCTCATTTACTTTTCAACTATATCATGCAATATAAATATATAAAGATAACCCTCGTTTTAGCGACCAGCATTGGAACTGGCAATTTGGCGGGGGAAGCTGAGCAGCCACTAAGTGAAACCACAACTGGGCCCATGATTTTCCTTTGCTGTACATCCCTGCAAAGGTCATAAAAGCAAGGACTGGTGCCACTTTGACATCCCTGTCCTAACTGCAACTGGCTATGTCTGAAGCAGTCACTAAGCAAGGACGATCTGCACTAGTTTCCATGAGCCGGTGAAAGAGGTATAGTATGTTGTACTATTGAGACAAGGGGGCTGTTGTGCATTTAAAAAAATGCTTTAATTTTTGTTTAAATACCATTCTTTCCAGCCAGAAGGGCTATGCACACCCACATCAGAGGAAGCTGAGAGAAAGATCCACCAATGTTCCTCTACCTTGGCCATTTAAAGAGGTGTGGCCTTCAACTCCCACAATTCCCCAGGTTGAGAATCACTGAACTAACATGTGAAATGAGTTCAAAGGGACTGTCCCCCCCCCAAAGATGAGGCCAAGGTACCCCTTAACGCAGAGGTGGGAAACTATGCCCCCTTTATGATTCGTGGACTTCAACTCCCAGAATTCCTGAGTCAGCAGTGCTGGCTCAGGAATTCTGGGAGTTGAAGTCCACAAGTCATAAAAGGGCCATCGATCTCCATCCCTGCTTTAACCACGGGGCAACCCTCCATTTTGGGATTTCCCCCTCTCTAAGGACTAAAAAGAAACTACCCAAGTTACTGCGGAAGGCTGGAGAATCTGAGGTAAGCAATCCACCCCCATGAGTGGAGCAGGAGAGGGAAATAGCCACAGGTTAGCCATATTAGGGAGAAGGAGTCCTCCTCTCTATCCATGGAAGCAGCCCCCTCCCCAGGGCAGTCACCGCAGCCCTTCTTTTTTTTCTTCCTTTTTTTTTTCCGACCACAAAATTGGGGAGAGCGGGACTCGAACTTACCACACCCAAAGCTTCGTCCTCCTCTTCTCGGTCGCATTTGAAAACTGCAATACATAGCACCGCCCTTTCCTCTCCGCCCCGCCCCCCTCCTCCAGACTGTTGAGGCCGAGAACTGAGGCTGGCCACGCCCCTCCGTCTTTTCTAGTTGGGCCACGCCTCTTTGAACCTCACTCAGACTCTGCATTGGGTGCGGGTATCCCGTCCTTTGCCTTCCAGCTCTGGCGCTTCCGGATTCTTCTTCTTTTTCCTCATTTGCCACTGGAGTCTCCGCCCACTTATCAGAGCTGAACCAATCGTCTCGAAGGATTGGTTCCCTCCCTTCTCTTTCCCCTCCCCCAAACCCTTGGTAACAAGTCAGATACAACGCAAGGGGCGGGGCTAGCGATAGACACAGCACATGGCACATTTGAGGGGACAAAATGTACCTGCGCGTTTGACAACAGAGAGATAACTCAATCCAATGGGAGGCTGTCCTTCCTTCCCTTTCCTTACCACCAATCAGAATGGAAAGCGAAACGTCAATCTTGGGCTCAGTTTTCCCTCCCTTCGCTTCTGTAACGACGGCTGGCCCTCCTGACCTTTGCTCGAGACACAGCTGTTACGCGCTCTTTGCGGAGGCGGCTCGAGACCAAACAGCCAATCACAAAAGCCCTCTGATTATGCGTTGCCTCCTGAATGGACGCTCCATCCATCACACCCGCTGTATTCCCGCCCTACAAGTTCTTTTTTTTTTCTTTTTCCGTTTTTCTTATCCCGTTTATTTTCTTAAAAGTGAACTTTGGGGCTTGACACTAGCGTGTTGAGGTTCATGCAACACAATGAAAGGACAATTAAAAGTAGAGTTGCTGCAATGCAGCAATACACATTACAATAACTTTATGTGCACATTACAATAACTTTATAGAAAGTTATTGTAATGTGCCAGATTGGGCATTTTTGGACTTATGAAAAGTCCAAAATGCCAGGGAATTTCTAGAAATTTGGCACTCTGACAAATCAGCCATCAATAGACACACAGACATTAACAACATCTATAGACTATTAAAAGAGACAATCACCCAGCCCCCAAGAGGTTAACTCCAAGGTTAACTTTGTTAGAAACGTGATTAAAACACTAACAAAATTGGATTGGTAAGAAAAGAGTTTATTCTGCAGAAAATAGAAAAAGCAGTTTGCAAAGTGCAGTGCATGTCTAAGACGCTTCCAACACGAAGTTCTAAATTAGAGATCACACACAATTGTTCAAGATCAAAGCATTACATAGACTCCTAGCGCGACCAACTTGCAGTTCATTTGAGTATGATATGTCAGTGTTTCAGTTATTACCTACTTTAGTGGTTTTAATGCAAGCATTACAGTTATTAGGGTTATCTGTACTTTGGCTTTTGCATATGCTCCCAAAACCTACTACTACCACTATAATCCATATCTTAATTACTCCTTTAACCAAGGTCATATTAAGGTCTAACATTATCCCAATTCTGTCCACCCCTGGAAAAGTAAATTTTCCCTTTTTGTTTTAACACCTCCATCTGTAACAGGGGCTGAGATTGGTACCAGTCTTCGATGATCACTATATTACACTCTTCTCCACAGTCTCTGTGTATCGGTGCACAGTCTGGACAATGGTTACAACAACAGCAATTACATCGAAGTCCACGAGTCATAAAAGAGCCAAGGTTGCCTACCCCTGACTTATGTCAACTGTCCGACTAGCGAATTCACACTGACGAATCTTTACGGCTTAGAGGTGTCATAAAACAGAGGTCCCCATCCTTTTGGGCACCAGGGACTGGTTCTGTGGAGAGAGGTTTTCCATGGACCGGAGGGTATGTGTTTGTGTGCTGCCTGCATCCCACAGATGGGGCTTTGCTTGTTTGTGTGGACCGGTTGCTGACATGCCGTGGTCTACTACTGGTCCCCGGACCTGGGGTTGGGGACCCCTGCCATAAAAGACAAACTTTATTGAATACACATCTCGGTACTGAAGAAGCAAAATAAATTCTGGTTTCCCCGTGTGAAAATCTGATTAGTTAACAGTAGTTTTCCAAAAACTCCACCCACCAAGTGTTCACATTAGTCAATCACACTTCTTTGATTTGATATGAGAACAGTCCACTTCTCCATCAGACACCTGTTTTTGTGACCTTGGTTCTCAGGGTCTGTGGACGGCTTTTTGAAACTCCCGTTTCGTTCCCAAGCTTCCCCTCCCCCGTGTTTCTATGGCAAGGTGAGTAGTGACAGAGGTTAGCAAGCATCTTAGAAATTCAATCTTGACAGCTTAACTCTTAGAATGAAGCTTTAGTCCTAGTTCTAAATACAGGTAGTCCTCGACTTACGATCACAATTAAACCCAAATTTTCTCTTGCTAAATGAGACAGCTGTTAAGTGAGTTTTGCCTCATTTTACCACCTTTCTTACCACAGTTGTTAAGTGAATCACTGCAGTTGTTAAACTAGCAATACAGTTGTTAAATGCACCTGGTTTCCCCATTGACTTTGCTTGTCAGAAAGTCGCAAAAGGTGATCAGATGATCCCAGGACACTGCAGCAGTCATAAATACGAATCAGTTGCCCAGCATCTGAATTTTGATCACGTGATCCTGGGGAGGCTGTGACAGCCATAAGCGTGAAAAACTATCACATAAGTCCCTTTTTTTCAGGTCTGTTGTAATGTCAAAACCCAAATGAATGGTTGTTAAGTCCAGGACTACCTGTAGTTCAAAACAATCCTTGCTAAAAAATTTTACCCCTGTGAACTCTCCCAATAATCTCTCTCTCTCACACACACACACACACAAACACACACGCACACACAGGGCAATCATTTGGGATTCTAATCAATGTGTTTATTTTTTTTTCTGATTAGCCCTAGATCAGTGGTTCTTAACCTGGGTGATATCGCCCCCCAGGGGGTGATTTCATTTTTAAGGGGGCGATGAAACGAAAAGGGGCGATGTGGGGGCGAAGGAATGAAAAGGGGGCGATATGGGGGCAATGGAGCGAGGGGAGGCTTGGCGATGCAGCTGACGGGCAGGGGATTCCGCAGATGCCCCGTGGCCCGACTTGAGCCTGGGGACGGCAGCACCACATGGGACGGCCTGCCAACATGACCGTGAGCCAGGGCATCCCCACAGGCCCAGTGGGCAGCGGAGCTGGGTGCCTCCAGCGGCAACAGGGGCAACAGGGGGTCTTCTGCTGCCTCCTGACCCCCCCCTCCCCGCCCCTTCAGTGCCCTCTGCCTTTTGTTCTCTCTCCTCACCTGGAGAAAGAAGGGGGAGGGAGGGAGAGGAAAGAGAGAAAGAGCGAGAGAGAGGGGAAATAGAAAAAGAAAGAGAGAGAGAGAGGAAAGAGAGAGGAAGCACAAGTGCCTCTCTCTCCCTCCCTCCCTCCCTCCCTCTCTCTCTCTCTCTCTCTCACACACACACACACAGAGAGAGTGGGGGGACTGGCAGACCAAGATCAGAAAGAGGGAGAGAGAGGGAGGGAGGGAGAGAGAGAGAGAGAGAGAGAGAGACCCTTTTGACATCTAAAATGAAGATAACACTGAAGATATATATATAAAATAAAGGTAAAAAAGGATATATGTGGTGTTATCTTCATTTTAGATGTCAAAAGGGTTTTGCGGTTCCCAGTGTTTTGTTTTCAGTGGTCATTACATTTAAGTGTCTTGAATAAATAAGATAATAATGAAATACATGTATCATGAAGTTTGGGAATAAAGTGACGGGTGGCACCAAAATTTTTCACACAGTTGAGATATGAGGAAAAGACTGGAAATAAATGATTTGCATCATATGTCCTGATGACAATTGTAAAGAAAACAAGTGTTTGCATAAATTGAAGAATTATTTCCTATGTTGTGATTGAGAGGTTATGTTGGGGGAGGGGGGTGATGACAACTTCCTCATTGGCTCAAGGGGGCAATTCGTTCAAAAAGGTTAAGAACCACTGCCCTAGATAATAAAGATAGCCATGGTGGTTCACAAAGAAAAAATGAATCTAAAATTAAAGGGTAAGCCAGGTTATTTTAAAGATCAACTAAAATATAACCCAAGAAAAAACAAGGTTTTTCAATTCTCCAGAACCCGCTATCAGGTTAAATTGAACAAGCAAATGGTAGGAAAAGAAATAGTAGTAATTAGGAAACAGGAACGAACCCTGCAATTTAAGAAAGTGGAGGTTGCTGATTGCATGATTAAAGACCTGGTAATGTTGCAGATTATTATTATGTGAAGACCCCACTCCCTGGAGAAGGCTCTCGTGCTGGGAAAGATGGATAGAAAGAGAGGAAGAGAGGAAGAGAATGACCAGCAGTAAGGAGGAAGTACTCAAGTCATAGTAGTGATGGGGGCACCTTTAAAGGACCAGGTGGGGGACAGGCCCTCCTGGAGAAAATCTAACTATGTGGTCATTAGGATCAAAAATGACTATCTATCTATCTATCTATCTATCTATCTATCTATCTATCTATCTATCTATCTATCCATCCATCCATCCATCCATCCATCCATCCATCCATCCATGTATCTGTAGCCCTCGGCTTATGACAGCACCCAAGCCCAAATTTCTGTTGCTAAGTGAGATGGTTAAGAAAGTGCCCCAGTTTACAACTTTTCTTGCCATAGTTAGGTTACTAACAGGATTGTTAAATGAATTTGGCTTTCCCATTGACTTTGCTTATCAGAAGGTCGCAAACGGGATAACACGATCCTGGGACACTGCAGTCGTCATAAATACGAATCAGTTGTCATTTTGATCATGTGACCCTAGGGATGCTGCAATGGTCATACGAAAAATGATCATAACTCACTTTTTTCAGTGCTGTTGTAACTTCAGTCACTAAATAAATTGTTGTAAATCGAGGACTTCTATCTATCTATCTATCTATCTATCTATCTATCTATCTATCTATCTATCTATCTATCTTTCATATTTCTTAACTGCCCCTCTCCCTCAGAAATGGCATGTAACTAATCAATGAATAACATGCCTTATTTTAATTGTGATACTTCTGACACGAATAAACAATCAGTTAATCGGTCAATCAGTGCAAAGACTCTTTTCTTTGGAGAAATCTATAATGCTGGGAAAATTGGAAGGAAAGAGATGATGATGACCAGCATCAAGGTGGATATATTCATGTTGGAAGTAA